CCCCGTCCCCACCCATGCGCCTCCCGTCTCGCTCCCCTCCATCTTCCCGTCCTCACCCATGCCCCTCCCGTCTCGCTCCCCTCCATCTATTCCCTCCCCAAAACCCCGTCCCCACCCGTGCGCCTCTCGTCTCGCTCCCCTCCATCTTCCCTCAGCCCCGTCCCCATCCACGCGCCTTTCGTCTCGCTCCCCTCCATCTGTTCCCTCCCCAACCCCGTCCCCACTCGTGCGCCTCCTGTCTCGCTCCCTTCCTTCCCCTCCCTTCCTTCCCTTCCCTCTTCCCTTCCCAACCCCGTCCACCTTCACCTCCATCTTCCGTCCCCGACAACGTAAGCTTTTCCTCGCTCTCCCCCGGCACTAGCGACTAAACGAGAACCCAAGCATCGGAGATGCTTTTGGGAAAAACAATTCCATCTGATTAATTGCCTGTCGCCCCACCACAGTGCTTATCGTGCGCTTGCTCAATGAATGTGCCAACATCAGAGCATCGCGGGCCAAAGCCTCTTTGACAGAATGACGTGACCGGTGATGCTTGATGGGTCACGGCTTTGTCAAGTTCATAATCTTCATCGTGTGTTCTTTTGCATAATAATGATCCTATACGTTCATCGCGCAAAGAGGTAAAGCGAACTAAGGGAGGAGGGTCGAGGGGCGCAGGGGTCTGTGTGGAGGCACCACGGGATGGAGGGCGGGGGGCGAGCGGCCTATTTTCCTAGTGTTTCTAACATTTTCTAACGGTTTCCCTATGTTATTCCTATGTTATCCCTATATACTTGTTTCCTGTGTTATTCCTACTGTTTCGAGTTCTTTTTAGATCTTTTTATTAGTTTTGCAGGTTTGGAAGTACGAGCTGCTTTCAGGTCAGAGCGGGTCCAGACCGCAAATGGAATCCCCTGGGGGCGCGGATTGGGCCCTAGACCCCCTGGCCTCTCGCGGCCGACTGCGCCCACCCCCCACCGAATTCCGCCAGGACCCAGCTCCTGAGCTCTTTGCTCATGATTGGGTTTCCTCATGCTGTCTTGCTCCTTTTCTTTTCGACTATGGTTCCTTTGTTTGTTCCATTGTTCCCTATTGTTGTTCTTATTTTTGATGCTATTTATGTCCTATGTTGTTCCTCATATGATTTTGATCTCACCCAATGAAAGTTTAACTTCATCAACATAACTTTAGTCTTAACAATTCTCAGAATAGTCATGAAGATTGCAGTCAATGGTGTCTAGATACCTGCCTGACGAGGCACGGAGGAGCCTTCGCTCCAATGCCACGCCTGGACTCACTGGAGCCGCTCGCGAATCTTTGCATTTGGACTTTGGATTCCAATGATCCACCCAAGTTCCCAAAACAATTAGACATCTTCTGGAAATCTCTACCACTGCAGACCAACAATCTGAAAGACCATGAGTTGGACCATCAAACCTGTGCTTCAGGCCCAATACCGCCTCCGAAACCTGCGATTCGGCAGATTCTCAAAATGTTGTGCGGGAAGCCCGCCTGATTGCACATCATGAGCTGATCCTGCGGGGCCTCTGGTGTGCTAATTCCAAACCCATTCAAAACCAATAATTATGCCAATAGGACAAACAACAAAAAGCACCCCAAACTCAAGAACTTCAAACTTCACAGCAGAATTTTGGCACCCGTCAACACAGAAACTGAGAGCCAGTTGTTGACACGTGCAAATGGTGAAAGGTGCCGCCAAGGCTCTTGAGATTCCACAGCCCAACTTGGTAAGGATCCAATTGTAATTGTAGCTTGGACGGGCTGGCCTTGCCCCACGTATCTCTCCCACTCTTCCTTGTTCACCCCCTTTGGATCCTTGAGGCAAATTGCGCAAATCTTCACGTTCTTGTGAAGAAGTATTCTTATCACAGGCATTCACAGGATATGTCTGCAAAACACCCAAATATATCTAAATATGCAAGTCGATGCAAGTCCTGGAGTCCTATCCACAGAATCCCGCGCCTGTTCCAAGGAACGCGGAGCTGAAGTAGACCTCTCCGCCCTGCTCGGCTGAGAGCCCGTATGTCGCCGTGCGGTATATTCGTGGTCTTCCCAATCCCAATCCTCCTCGCAGCGCATCAAAAGCACCAGTACTCCAGGCAAAAGCAAAATGGACCATGCTCAACCCAACTGTTGTTTATAAACTGATACCGGGCTTGGTCATTTCCTATGTGCAAGAGTGCTTCATTTCATACACCGTTAGGGAAGGGGTACTGTATAATGTGTACAAATACACATGTGTAAGCACTTGGCCCCCTTCTCGACAAAAAGAAAGTGCCTTTCCCGTCCTCGGCAAGGCGACGCGGAGCTGCCACTGGGGCGTCTTTCCGCCATGGTGCATCACTGATGTGTGCGAGTGAACCCTCTGGTGGGGTAGGAGGGCTTGCCTTGGATTGAGCCGGTGCCAGGCCTTTGTCGCCTTTGCTCTTGGGCGGCGCTTCAGGCTCAGGGGGGCGCATGCCTCCCTTGTCTGGCCTGGAAAGGCAAGAAACAACGCAAGGATAGTCAACTAGTTCCATGTCAGCTCAATTAGATTGCAGTTCAATTCAGCCGGCCTGATAGAATCAGGCATCTTCTTTGGCATTGGCATGCGCTTTGGGTGTGGCTTCACCCTGGCTGCATGCTCCGCCCATTCTGCCTTTTGGAGGGCTGTGTTGAAATCCTTGCTATCGTTTCGGTAGGTGTCTGTCCTGGCATGGAAAGCAAAGAAGTTTGTAGGAATTGCCATGGCCGCCAAAAATAACAGAAATAACTAACTTCTAGATTCTAGTTGTTTTCGCCGAAGTTGCTGGCTTGGAGGATAACTGGCTAGCAGGGAGCCAGCAAAGGAAACATGTTTATGTTTAGCGCCGGGTTAGGAAACCGCATGCCAAACTTCCGCTGCATGGCTTGTGATACTTGGCTTCCCATGGTTTCCCTAAAAATCTATGAACCAAGTCAGTAGTGCGAGTTCTTCTTCGGTAGTAGCTTAACCAGCTAGTAGCTTGCCTCCTTACTTGGTTAAGCAGGCGCCTACTTAAGCAAGTAAGGAGGCAGGGCGGCAGGGCGGCAGGGCGGCAGGGCAAAAAACAAGTGAACGATAAACTGAAGGCGATGCGATGCAAAGTCTAACGATTTTGATCACCAAGCATCTGATCCCCATTCTTGTCGAAGATCACGAGCTGCTGGCCATCTGGTCCCAACCACAGCACCCTCAAGAAAAATGCCGGGCGCACTGTCTGAGTTTCGGCTTCACCTCGCAAGAGGTCCCGACAAAAACAGACGATCATGTGTGACATACACAAAATATCACGCAATGATATTGATGCAAAACCAGCATTTCAGTCTCGTCGCCATTGGTGAGGATTACTCCATTGCTGGACTGCACAAACTTGATGCCCGCTTGGATTGCACGGTTGATGTCAATGAACACCGCGATGTCACAATCCTCTCGCATTCCGCTCATCACTCCGGTTCCTGGCAACCCAAGGCACATGTGGATGTGGTTCCGTCCCATCGTCTTCAGTCCTGCAGGGAATCGGTTGGGGAGGCAAGCGAACTCAACTCAACTCTCCTTTCCTATTATGTTGAGTGTGACCAAATACATTTAGTTGTGGCCAATGATTTATTTCAAACTGGAAACTGTATGAGTATGATGCAGCATCATGCTGCATCCATGTCTGTCATTTTTCTGGGTTGGGGTCGGACTCATCACAAACAATCACAAATTCGTCCTTCAGTGCGGATCTTTAGCCAGGCAGGCAAAAAGGTCCCATGGATCACGTGTTCTTGACCCAAATCATCGGCACTTCGCACTGGATGATGGACAGAGTCTTGCACTTTGGAAATCGTGTGGCCCTGAGTTGCTCGAATCCATGGCTTCTTGTCCGGACCGTCCTGATACGGCACCAATGTTAGCAACAACATTGGGGAGCTGAGTCTCAGTGTTTCTCGGCATGAGATCAAACAATCCGCATGCAATAAGAAACCCACATTCCTGCAAGGGGTATCAAGGGGTCTTAGATAGCAACCTGGCTATAGCGGTGTTTCTCAAATTTGGTACCTTCAGGAAGACGCCATTTCGAAACAACGAAATTGGACTTCCGTGCCCACAGCGGTGGTCCTCCCAAAGCTCGAAGCGCTGCTTTGGGCAGTTTTCCACGACCAGGCGGATCTCGTACAAATTGGTCGGTTTGCTGAAGCTTTTCGCCCGGAGCTCGATGAGTTCGTCCACCGAGACATAGCCATGATGGTCCATGTAGACATTGGCCTGCAACATGACAGGCAACAAAGGATATATTCATGCAGAATCATGCAGATACATTAGAGTTGTAAATGAATATATAGCTGTATTATCATGGAGCCATGGTTTCGAGGGTCTGTTTTGAGACAAACCCACGTCATCCCACATCCAAGTTTACATCCTTGGACTAGAGAATTGCAGGAGAATGCTTCAATGCATTGTTGAAACCTGCATTGTCTGGCCAACACCTCGCAGCCTGCGCCGCAAGGCACCCAACAAAAAGTAACCCATGACACATGTCTGGCCCACCTCCGATGCCCCGTGGCGCAAGATATACGTCAACCATTTGGAGACGCTGTCCTTTTCAGGAGAGGCCAAAATTCCTTTCAATCTCATTCATAGACTGCTTGGTATCTTTCTTGTATTCCAAAGGCCATGGTGCTAGACCCACATTCAAAACATCTTGCGCCTCACTGTTGCTATCTTGCCATGAAGAGTAGCTCCAACTGTCGCTTCCTCACTGCGGCTCGCTTTGCTAAGGGGAAACAACTACAAAGCGAGCCGATCCACTAATGTTGACATCGTATTAACCAACCCCCCTATTAGTCTACCCAGGGTTCAGGCCCCAATAATAAACTAACTTGAACTACTAATTTCCACAGTCACCACCCTCTAATAAAAATTTTGATTGGCTGAAACCCCCCCCTATTAGTCAACCCCCTGTCCCCCCAGGAAAAATATAATTACTTAAATATATATGTGTGTTCAATTAGTTTTGTTCTTTTTGCCTTTTCAATATTTTCTTGTCTTGCCATGGTGAAACTGATCATCTGATTGATTACCAATGCTCTCCCAAAGCAACAGTTGTCCTAGAATTTCCAAAAACTCTATAGGAAAATTCTGTCATTTTCCCTTATTAAAACTCTATCAAAATCTGCAATTTGAGAAGCTCAGAAAGGGTACCCCCCATACACCCCCTACCCCCCTCTAATAGTGGGGTACCCCCCCCTATTAGTCAACCCCATCCATGATGAGCTCTCATGGACCTCATGATGAAAGGGAATTAGTATTTGGGCTCTCATGGATCTCATGGATCTCATCATTCCATCCCAGCTCTTCCAAATACTAATTCCCTTAATTCCAATTCTTCCAAATACTAATTCCCTTTCATTCCAATTCTTCCAAATACTAATTCCCTTTCATCTCAATTCTTCCAAAATACTAATTCCCTTTCATTCCAATTCTTCCAAATACTAATTCCCTTTCATTCCAATTCTTCCAAATACTAATTCCCTTTCATCATCAGGTCATCCCCACTATTAGGGGGATGTGATCTCCAAAACCTCCAATCTCAGACCTTGTTGACCTTGTTGACCTTCTAGGGGGGGGGGGCGCCCCGTTGATTAATACGACGTTGACATTACATTCCATTACCATTGTCAGGAGTCCACATCTTGCAGAAATGGATCAAATTGCAGGACACAAAGAACCTTTCACCATGGTAGTTAAACTGTGCAAGTTGAATCGTGGCTTCTTAACCTCAGCAGTGCTGGAACATGGCCCTGTCCAACGGCCCAACGCTTGCCTGCCGAACCTCTCCGCCAGTGCTTGTTGTAGTCCCTACTCTTCTTCCAACTTTGCTTCACTGACCAGCTGTCTTGACTGTAGTCTTTCCATTGCCCTTTCCCCATTGTTCCGCCGCTGACCGCACGGGTTGCGGCTACAAGTAGAGCCAAAATGTTCGAAAACAAGTGAGCTGTCATGCGCTAGATTAATCAAGTAATCACATGCCCCGTAAATCGTTTCAACTGAATGAAGAAAGAATTAAATACACCATATTGTTTTCAAGTCTCGAACTGCTTGAACACGACAAAAACAGGCAAGTTGAGGGCTTGACAGCTTGCCTTCCTGAACTCTTCCGCCAAAGTTCGCAAATCTTTGCGCAACCGCATGTTGTCCTCAGCGCTGATCAGTGGTCAACTTGAATCCAGCAAAAGGTCCTTCCAATTCCAGCAAAAGTGGCTGAGCACAACGCCAGTAGGGCTTCTTCGGCGACTTTTTCTAGCTCTTGCAGCTGGTTTTGAATTTGAGTCCTCACTGTCTCGATCAAGGCTCCAGAAACTGTGCGGTGCGGATCTTTGGCTGAAAAGCCCTTGAATCTGAAAGGCATAATTGATAAATGTCCCCTGGTGTATTCCTTGCCTGCAAGCCTAAATCATTGATGTCCCAAAATGGACTTCAGCATCCTGTCTCGCCGCAGCATTCCGAATAGCCTGGCACCGGCTCCTTGGCAAACTTGATGCTGGAATGATGGGTTCTCGGCTCGCATCCACATCTGATTATACATATATATATATAAGATTACAAAGTATATACATGGAAAACAAAAACACAATGCCTGCGCGAGGGCGAGGTGCAGCCTGCGCTTGACGGCAGGACTTGCACGTCAAGACAAATCGTAGCTCTCGTTCTGATTTGCTGTCACAAATCCCGAGGTGTTGCTTCTGCGCAACCCTGCTTGCTGTTCCCTCGGCACCGGGCTCCATTTCTCCCATCTCTGGTTCGCATGAGGAAGGAGATCAGCTCCTCGCCAATGCAACCATGACAAAGAATAAGAGCATACGAAAGGGAAAAGCAAAGTAATATCAACTTGTCTAGTCGGAAACCTCCCTCCCCGCACCTCCTTCTCTTTGCTGTCAGCTTGCAAGCACTGCCTGAGGCACGCCAAAGAAATCATACGCCAGGATGTGCTCGTGGCCTTCACTAAGACGTGAGCTCACTGGATTTCAGGAGTTCAAGGTCTTGCTCGAGGCCGGCATTTTGCCGTTCCAACTCCTCGATCTTTTGCACCTCGAAAAAGAAAGCCATGGACGTGGGGTGCTGACAGTTTCTTGACCAATAAATAAACGTTAACTAATATTAAATATATGCCATCTTGATTACCATCTTCTTGATCCATCCTGAGGGTGTCAAAAAATGCCCAACTTAGTCAACGGCAGAGCTTTAGTAACATTATGAAAAATGGAGCTGCCCAGGTATGATCCGTAAGTTGAAGCATCTTCAGTCTGACTCCAGAATTGAGGAATGTGCTGATGAGACCGTGCTTCTATCTGCCAAGTCATGAGAGTAGCTTAGCCATGGACATAGAGAATGGAGTCAAAGCTCTCCTGGCTATCAACGAAAGGGTCATAATAATCACGCTTACCAAAGCAGCAGGCTTGGCTGACTTGCAATGCTTGCAAGGGCTCCTCTTGGTTGGTTTGCCCATTTCTTGACTCCTGTGCATGAAAATCATAATTCAGCTTGTACTGTTCCGATCGATTGCGGCATCAAAATAGCGCTTCGCTATCGCTTGGGTGAAAACAGAGCGACGGAGCGCAGTCACCGCTTCGTCCAGCACCTCTTCGATCTGTTTTTCCGGCTCCGGCTCATCCAGCTTCCGCTGATGCTCCCGGATTTGGGCTCTCAGTCCCTCAGCCTGAGCGAATCGGCTCAATTCATTGCCGTTTCACATCGCAAATCGACCCCGCAAAGGGCTCTTCTCTCGTCTTAGCGTCATTCGTAGATTCCTGTCGCTTACGAAGTTCTTTTCTTACTAATAGCCACCTACTGTGCGCTACCTCTCCTACCCGCCCACTGCCCACCCCTCTGGCAGCCCACGACCTACCTCCTCCAACCACCTCACTAGACTAGAACTGAGATCTGGACTCGATCAGCGTTCTGCAGCTGTAATTCTTTCATTGCACTTTGGAGCGCCTGATACAATACATTAGCTGTCTTTTCAGCTGTGAGATTCATTTCATCATACTTTGACAATGCGAGCGCCAATGGTGACAATTGTCTGTTCCAAGATTCCAAGCAAGCGATTTCCATGTGTCAGTATCCTGCCTGAAGTTCCTGCTCCAACACATGGAGCTCGCCTTCACCAACACCAATACATATATATATATATACATCGGCCGATCGCGGCGAACCAAAAGATTGTGAACCACAAGGGCTTATATAGATAAATAATGATAAATAGTCCTTAGTATAATTGTGCAGTTTGCACATTGACATCTCTTGATGTTTGTTTGCCCACTTGCCAACTTAGATATACTTGTCCTACCTGCATCACTTTGGCAGGACGATGTTGGGCTGGCCGCAACGGCAGCCTCCAATGGACCGAAGAATACATAATTGGATTGCCACATCCAAACCTAAGCCAGCTAAGTCTTCATTCAGTCGATACCCACATGTCATGTCTCTCTCTCTATATATATATAATATAAGAATCCGTTCAAACTTCATCCAACGTCATAACCACACCACTAATTTTGGAGCTTGCCAGCAATCACACACACAAGCCACAAGCAGCGCTTCAAACCTCCATCCTTCAAGCTTGCGTTAGCTCACACAAACCACTAGCACGACACTGCACTTCATGGAAACAACACTCCAAGTCCTTGGATAATGTCGTTATGCCAAGGCAGCGGAGGATTGTTTGTTCGACCAATGTTTCTTCAGTCCGACCCTGTCGGCCTCCCAACCAAGCTCTGCGGTATCCTCGTGCAGGACTTGCACACCGACAGCCTCCAAACATAGTAATGACGAATTCATCACATTCCCAGAACACTCATTGACAGGCAGAATTCTGCATACTTGAAGTGCTCCTCCTCTGTACAAAGGTTCTGCACTGGATCTGGCTCTTCGGGTTCAGCTTTCCCCTCAATGTCAGAGCTTTCGCTGCCTTCCACCAAGCTCCACCATGCTCAGCACACAACAGCTGTGATTAAACAGGACACAGCGCCTGGCTGAGGATCCACGTGCCGCATCCAACATGATGCGAGGTCCTCCTAAAAAGCCCACTGTTGTGCTCAAGTTGACACTCAAAGGCAATGGGCCTGTGCATAGCTCAAGCGCTCTCGCCGCAAAACACTGGCATGCTCCATACGCTCTTGCCTAGCAACGATCCATGCAAGTGTCGGTTCTGCATGACTGCGCCCAACGTCATCTATAGATTGTTGGAACATGTTGATCAGACATGTTGGAACAAAGAAACACATTAAAATAGACTACAGTAAATAGCCCTTGGTGGGATTCTCATGAAAAGCCTTTCTGCGCCTTGTCAGCAGCTGCTCAATCGCTTGGTCACGTTGCCTCCGTAAAACTAAGGAGCTAAAAAGATCTAAAAAGGCATTCCAGTCCAGCTGCAACCTGAGATCTTGCATAACTCCAACAAAGAAAATTCTTGAAGGGCCTCACACGATCAAGAACAGACTCCATGTTGCATCGCAGCTCATAGGTCAGGCCTTCACTTCTCTCACACTTGCACCCCACCCGCACCCACCAGGGACATTCTGAACTTCGAGACCAGGCAGTGCGTAGCTGGGAGACCCTGCGCGATGTGCCTTGCGAGGACTGCAATCGTTGGCCTGGCCAGGAAAAAACAGCTATCGTCTTATCAAGCATGTTGCTCGGGAAATGGAGAAGTTGCTAGGAAGCAACAAGAGGTACAACAGAACAAGACTTTGCTTCATACTACCTGTCTTTAAAGGAATACGCATGAAACAAACAAACCGAAGCAAACTATCCACCTGTCACTCCACGTGTCACTCCCGCGTGTGGGTGCGGAGGAGTCGTCCCACCTAAGTGGTCGAGCTTCCCCTCAGCACTTCGCAACTGCTCTTCCAGAGCTGGCAACCTGGCGAAGTGTTGGAGTCTTCCGGGTCTGTTTCAGTGCAACCATGTGGGACGGCAAGAAAGCGAAGGCAAGAGGGACAATTCAGCGATCTGTTCGGGGCCCGAGGAAAAGAAAGCCCTGGCTGTGAGAAACTGGGAACAGGCGATAGATGGGAAGGATGCTAGCAGAGTGCTTGCCTTGCACATGGTGCGCAAAGATGCGCAATCCATTTCTTCATATTTCTTCTGTGCAGCGGTATATAACATAGTTCAATGATGTTCAATGCTTTTTTGGGCAATCTATGCATTGTGGAGCCATTCAACCGCATGGTCCCATGCCTGTTTGGTCATGCAGTCATGCAGCCCTGCAACCCTTCGATGACCGGGACTCTCCGTGTTGCTTGGAAATGCCGGTGCGGCGCTGCAGCAGATGGCTTGCCCGCCTTCTCAGTGGCAACCTCAGTACCAGAACGTGCGGTGGCAAACCTCAAAGATGTGCAGTAAGCGCTTCTGCCTTCTCCGTCAAGCGGGCAATTTGAGCCTGTCAAATGAGCCAAAGGATTCCACAATTGAAGGCCTTTGCCAATGAAGTGAAGCTAAAAAAATCTCAGTCAGTGCACCCTGAGCCTGCTGACGGTCGACTGCTTCGCGCACTCTTTCCAAGTCTCTCTGCCTAAACATGTGTTCCAATGTCAAAAGTTCAAGCAGTGAAGCTATGCAAAGCTTATCTGGCATGAAATTCTGGTTGCATTAGCTGAGGTCGTCCTCATGATTAGACGTGAATGATAACTCACTCTCAGATCAGGCCTTTGGGGAAAGTAAAAAAGAGAGGAAAACATAGTGGACATGGCAACCCTTAATAAGGCTTCCCTTCAAAGAGAGCCAAGTCTACCTTCCGTTTGTTCCCACCTAAGGCCAGGGGGCCGACTGCGCAGACAGCGCAAAGACGCTGAGGCACCCGAACTGCTGCTGAACCTTCAGGAGCAAGGCCTGGGACGTTCTGCGGACGGAACCGGCAGATGGAGACCGGAACCGGCAAATGGAGACCTGATTTGCAGGTGATTCTTGATGAATACAGTCTTGTCCCAAGGCAGAATCATCCGATTTATCATGGTTTATCTAGAATCTAGTCAGTTTGATGCAAAAATCAACCAAACAGCGTCAAAGCACTCCAAGCTCCAGACCTGGCTCAGTGTCAGAACCTCCTACACCATCAACTGATCCCAAAAATTCACCGACAAAGAGTCCGTTTCAGAGGTCGGGTGTGTTTCCTGCTGCGGCTGCAATGCAACTAATGCAAAATCAAGTAAACTCTATGTAAAGGTTTATGGATGTGCACCATACTCTGCAACTCGATTCGGCAAAGAACTCAGATGCCACAGCAGTCCTCCACAGGAGGACTTGCGACCCCCCCCTGGTGCTGTATCCAACACAAAAGACTAATGAAGACTCATGAAGGTGTTGTTTTTTCCCATGGCTTCACCGAAACGTAATCATGACAATCACACCCAAGGCTTCACATTGGCTTGGCCGCGGAGGGACGCCTCTATCAGCACGCGGGTCAGCGGCAGCCTGGGTGCCATTTTTAGGCATGAATTCAAGCACGGCACCAAGGCAGTTCACCCAGACCAGAATTTGTGTCTTGCATAAGCGCACGTGAGACATTCAATTGAGATCAAAATGGAACAACTATGCGCTGACCAGTTGATAGATATTGATACTAAATTAAATAGTCTGAAGACAAGGAGCCTGGGGCTCCAGCAGTTGCTTCGCGCTGAGCCAGCATGGCATCTTGTCGTGCGGCACTGAGGTCCTGAGTAGGTCCATATGGCATCATGATCGATTTGCAGCGGTGAAGACACAAAAAGCACAACGGCTTGTCAACTATCCGATCCTCCATGACCGCCTTCAAACGCTCTTGCAATGCAGCCACCTTCGGCATAGAATGGTGCTCTTTGGCAAAATCAGGTAGAATGAGGCAGAATAAACATATATAAACATGTTGCCTTTTTGATCCTTTTTGTGGACCTTGTTGGGGATGGTTGTCATCGGCTGTCCAACAACCCATGAAGTTCTTCCAAACCGACAACGGAACCAGAACCTGAGGAACTGAATCTGATCCGAGCGAAACAGGTTGGTAGCTTCGAAACAACATGTTCAGCCGCTGCTCATACCACAACATGACGTAGCTTTCAAGTTCGGCTGGTTCGCCGCAGGAGGGGAAAACACTACGAATTGCCTCTGCGAGCCCACATGAACGCGCCTCTGCGAGCTCGGCAGCCTGGAGTTGACGAGGATACGTCGTCGAAATTCATCCAGTGTTCGGAGACGAAAATCCACCAGTCTTGGATCTGTACTGAGACTTTGAAGAAAAACATGGTATAACTTCTGGATTGTCATGGTATGTCATTCATGCATCGGTTGCTTGAGGTCCTCTTTCCACCCTTTACCTGTTCGCCTTTATGGCTCCGTGGCCTCGCGCTGGCTGTGGTTGTGGCTTTCTCCCTGAGCAAACACAGTGACAAGCAAACCACATGCCATGTCTGAGAGGTGCAGACATGCAACAGCGCAAAATATCCCAAGTATCAAGCCTGCGGAGCCTGAGGATGCAAGTGGAAGGTACTTCCATCCTTGGGCGGTGCAATTCAGCCCCCTTTGGCCTGATCTTACTAGATCTGCGTGAGTGTATCGCAGTTAATTCATTGTTTTGGACAACATGAACGTGCGAACGTGCAAGAAAAAACTGAAGCAAAACCCATGATAGATTGTGACACCCCAGCCTTTTTGTACATCTGTAGATCAGTAGATCAGATAATACACCCTCATCTCCTTCAAACTCCGGGATATGGCTCAGAATGAGGCCAATGAGGACTTCAGAGAGGCCGCGCGCTGCCCCAGGGCTGACACGGCTCCTGAGACTGCTCCTGGATAAACACGCCCATTCTCTTCAGAGAACGTAGTAACTTAGTAGTAGGGTGTCAAATTTGACATCAATATTCCCAAGAGCGTTCTTACACATCACAAAGGAAATCAAATCCAAAGAATATGAGGAGCATGTTGGCTCTCGGAAAAAGAGAGTGACTTCCTTATGAGAGCAACTCGAAGCAGTTGGTTCCAGGGGGCGTTCGCAGGTCTCGGCGTACAGAAAAAGATATACAGCATTATACAGCATGTGTTGTGTTTGGGGCTGGACGTTGTTCATGGGACTGGAGTTCCGCGTGCCTCGAAACTAGTCAGTGAAAGTGTTCAGAGCGGAGAGAAGACATAGCCGGTATGAACATCACATCCAGATGTGATCCAAATGCTTTTGGGGCTTGCTGCTCGAACCCCGTGTCTGGGCCGTCTGCGCAATGCTAAAGTGTCTTATCAGGTACCATTGGTTGAAGCATCACGCACCCGGCATGGCTCCTGCACCAGCCTTTCGCAAGGCATCCATGTTTGCCATCGTTCCCTGTGGCTCGGAATGGATGTGTCGACGTAATTGAGCATTCTCCTGTCGAGGTATGGATACGAGAAAAGAAAGGATGGGAGAAAGGAGAAGAGAAACATTTATGTAAGAAGGGAAGGAAGGAAACAATGCAAAAAGTTGTCAAAAAGAATAGTGATAGTAACAAAGAAATTATGGACAATATATCATTGTCATTGTCATAAATACGTGAAACAACTCTGAAACAACTGCAACAGTTCGCCCAAGTCAGCCAGGTCCTGTCTCAGCTCTTCTGTCTGCATCTTGAGATTTAGTAACTCCTGTCAGTTTCGGTCGAATCCTCATCCTGTGCCTTTTCAAGTCAGTCCCTTTTAGCTGGCAAGCATGATAAGTTTACTCATGAATCCTATGATCAGCCTTGAGCTCTCCTCCTGCAAGCGCAGAAACTCATCGGAACTGAGTTCGGCTGCCATCGCGGCCGCCTTGGTCAGGAATCCATGAAACATCATCAACTGAATCACATTCATGCAAGAACTGAAAGGATTTAAATAAAGATCTTGCAAGGACGATTGCAAGCGATTGCCCATCCAGTTGAAGAGTCATCCAACAGATCTGCTCTGGCTTCGCTCAGGTGAGATTTGCTGTAGAATTCTCTCTATTCAACTCCATGGTCCATGCTGCTGTGGATTTCAGAGCCTCAGTCTGTCGCCGAGGATCAAAACGATCTGCCAAAAGAAAGCTGAAAAGGCCTTCCCTACTATGAGGCTGAAAAGCGGCTGGCGCGGGAAATCACCCCAAATCCTCCTTCAATGTCAACATGCCAAGGGCTGGCGAACCAAAGTCACTCTCTTGCACCATTTTCCACGACAGCTTAGCGACATCCGGAGGATGACAATAAGATTCAAAAGGCTTCATCTAGAGCCAGATGTTGTCCCGGCTGTCCGTTGCCTGAAAGGCACACCATTGGGCCCTGGAAAACAGGCTATCCCGGCGACGTGTGTAAGAAGTGCTCTGTGGGGCGGCTGTTGCGCAGTCACTAGTCAAGCTCATTTGTCCAATTTGGCACATCCTTCCAAAGCCAATCGTTAAGGGCACAATCCCCGCTCTGCATTCCCGATTCATGATGATCAATGGTCCAGCTTCTACGAGCGCTTTTGAGCTTTGCACGAGCCGGCATTAACAACTTAGAACCCCTTGCACGTCCGACTGCAACCTCTGGACTCGGAATACGATGACCTCTTCACCTTCTTCATCAGAGCTCTGGTCTCTCCCTGCAAGGCATGGGTTTGTCTAGAGACAAATGGGTAGTCTATGGTCTATGTTCCGGTGTCTTGAGACACACTCTGACTATACACCTTCCTGACCTTACATTCCGTTACATGCATTGACTTGCTCTTCTCTCAAGCTTCTTCAGTTCACGCATGCCATGCCTTCTTCAGAGCTGTCATCAATGTCGCTCATGCTCTCAAGGGCATCTTCCTCAAGAAGCTATTACTGAGCGAGTACAATTTGAAACTGGGAGTCACTGGGAGCAATAATAGTACAACAGAAATGAGGAAACAGGTGGACCCAGCATGAACACAGCCAAAAGAGCCTGTGTATAAATCAGCAAGAAAGAAATCATGAACCGCAAAGAAGCACGATCGAGCATCCAATGGGAATTCCCACTCGAATGTCCCTCTTACTAACCTGCCTCAGTAGCGTCCTTGCTCCTAGTAGTAAGGTAGCTTCTTGTTACTAGTAGTAAGAATGCTCCCAGTAGCGATGCCAGGAGCCCCTAGTAGCGTCCTTGCTCCTAGTAGGTCAATGCCCAAAAGCTCATGTTGGATTTCTGATCTCTAGTGACCTAGCCTCCATTGCCTGCACTACAATATGAGTCCCAGCTAAAGGTTGATATTTATATTAATAAGCCTGTAGTGATAGCCTATGGCCTATGGCCTATGGTCATCTTCTCCATTCATAGATCGACAGTCTGCGATGCATAGCTGTGAAATGCTGCGAAGATTGTGAGCACCCCTTCGTGCAACAACGATCTGCTTCTGCTGGCAGGCTGTCAGCTCATCGACTTGCATCATGGTGCTTGAGAAGAAAGTTGTTGTTAGTAGAATGACATTATGCAGACACTGCAAACACACAAAGCAAAGGAGCGTACAGCGTCGTGGTCCAGTGTGTCCTGGACTTCGGAGATGCTTCAAAGCTTCATGATTTGATCCCAGATATTTCCAAAACAAGGTGTTTGCTTTTCAAGAGTCTGACCAACCATCAGATCGGACTACAAAACATGAGCAAACTCTGCATCAATGGCTTAATTAACATGAATCAGCCACATATGCGGCTCGCCTGTAGGCGAACTGCTGCTGATAAGCTGGATGTGACTGAATCGCTGATCCTCGAGAGGCGAAGTTGGAGGTGGGCCCGACCCAAAATGACCCAAAATGGTCAAGAGCATTCTGTGAATGATTGACATTACTAACATTAGAAAAAATATACAGTATGTTCTCTGATTAATGGTATCTTTTCTACCAAATGACAATGATTGTGAAGGCAAACCATCATACAACGCCTGTCAGCTTGTTTTGTGACAAGTGCTGTGGCTGGGATGTTCATTCCACGTGACTCATGCCTGTTCCTTAGGACTCTAAGCAACAAGCGCGTAGACATCCCACACAAAGTCGGAGGACCTAAGTATAGGGTGTGATTTCCAATGCACTGTAGGTAGACATCATCATATACTATCATATACTCTCTTGCATTCACAGGAGTCATAGTCATCAGATAGGCCAGCTCGGCTCTCAGCTTTTCTGGAGTGGCCACCATCGCCACGCCGTTGATCGTGAAGGCTGTAGGGGCCTTGCTCTTGCTCCGTTGATCGTGGGAATTTGGACTCCCAAAAACTGGGTCTGCGAGGTTGCCGGAAGACCAGCCAGCAACTTCCAAAACAATGTCCGTCTCTTCACGGGTTGTCCGTCTCCAAACAAAGGCCAAAAGCGATATGTGAAGGAAAGCCCCTTCACAGTAGCAGTATTGTCCCACGCCTCCACTCCCAAGCTTTCCGTGTTTTCGCCACTGCGCTCAACATCTATGAGCATGGCACCACCATCACTCCTAGGTCGTTCGCTCGAGGTGTCTTCCACATAGAAATTGTTTCACAAATCATCGCAAGCGGTGTCCATGCTGTTCAACAAAAGCTAAGGAGAAAAGTAATTAGATGGCTGAATGTGATCTGTATACGTGTGGGCTGCTCACACCATAGTCGCACGTTTTTGTTCTTTTGGTCGGCCTGACCTCGAGTGATTTGTCCTCAATTTCTTCAATTGAGGAGGGCACCCCTCAATCAACCGTCTGGAGGCCTCTCACGAGTCAAAAGTCTCACTGGGCAAAGATAGACAAAGGACACCAACTAATGGTCTCCTGCTGTTGCCTTCGTTCACTCAATATGTAATTTCATTTCATCATTGTTCATATATATTATATACAATAATGGAACTGGGTACAAAATAGTACAATGGGTTGGGCACAATGGAGGCCAGTGAGTCCCTGCAAACCATTGCAAACCTGGCTCTTGCACATGTCCACTTATCTAAGCTGTCGCCTCTTGAAGAGCTGGAAGAGATGGTAGTTTCTCCAAGCGTCCTGCATGAACGGAGCGTGCAAAGCCATGTGGAGCCAAAGCAAAAATTATCTGAAGAGAATTCCAAAGGACCTTCCATTGCAGGCCATGACGCATTGGCAGCTGCATGTAGCCAGCTTGCGGGAAGGCCATAGTCCTGCCGAGATGATCACGCGGAAGCTGGGCACAACCTAAAACTCAGATTGAGGTGCTTGCAAATGGATTGAGAAACCTAAGCTGTGCCCTCATAGGATCCCTCCAAAAATGGACAGTGCAACGCAGTTTCGCGGAAAGGAAATGAAAGGAACAAGTAATTGTTGAAATAAAGGGAGAATTCCCTAGCATCCTGGAGCCAGCATGGAGAGGGCGACCCATGATTGCCCTCCATGCTTTGCTGCCCTTTATCGTTCCCTCATCTATCTGAGGCATTCGTGAGTTCAAAACTGCAAGGCAAACCCCTGCTGCACCTCATCTGGCCACTGCCTCGACCTTAGCACTTGCTTACGCATCTTTTCTTTGGCATCTTTGACTCTACAATGCTCTACAAGTTGCAGTTGAGTGCTTGAGAACATGTATGTATATAGCCATGACTGGAAACCAATAACTCTCAAAGGCTCCAGCCCCACAGTGTCGACCAAACGAAGCGCCGCTGCAGATGCGTCCGGCCTAACGCCTCACTGTGGTGCTGAAGGTAGTCGGAGATTCAGAAAGAACAACGACAGGAGGCAGGGACAACGACAGCTGCTTTGATTGTCTTATATAATGACAAACCTTACAACGGTTCAGATCCGATGCGTGGGACAGCATGGTGAAGATTGAAGACATCTGGGATGGATTCGGATGGATCGCCTAGAATCAGCATGAATCCACACAAGAGGGGTCGAATCTTCAGCGCCTTCGGAGCACTGATTTAGACAGTGAAACACACGTATGCAGGTTGAACAACTTGAAAAGACTGCAACAACGAGACTAGTATTGTGTTTACTGAATTATCCTTCCTTCAAAGTCTCAAACTACGGTATAAATACTGCATTCGTCAATGTCTCAAGAAGGAAGTTTTTCAACAGCTCATCAATGGCAGTTCAGAATTCCCGTGCTTGCCCATGTTTGTGTTAGCGGGTTGAGAACTGCGATAGTAGTCGCGCAATTTGTTTATCAAAGCATGAAAACAAAATATCATATTTGTCCGATGTTGTTGCACGTGGCATGAAAGTGAGCACCTTTGCATGTTCACTGAAGAAAAGAAACTGCATATTGTTGTCGAATCACGGCAACCTCTTTTGTTTTCGTACTTGTTCACAGTTCCTGATTGCATTTGATAACTGGAATTCACTTGCGCTTCAGAATTTTGGTGGTAGTATGTTGGTTGTGCTTAGAAGCTGATGCCATGCATATACGCACAAACGCTTTAGAAGATGGGCGGGTGGGGAGGGTGAGGTTGGGTGGGCGTTAATTACCTTCGGTTGCAGAAGCATGCATCATCTTCACACGGAGATAGAGAGAGACCCGCGAGAGAGGTGGGGAGAGAGAGAGCGAGAGAGAGAGAGAGAGCGGCTTTAAGTGGATCATACGTACTTCAATGAAGATAAACGCGCAGTTGTCCACTGGCGGGATGTTTATGTTCTATCATCATATTTTATATAATACTTTTTATATATATACTGTATACTAGTGTTACCTTTTGTTTTATGCTTGACATCTTGGTTGGAACAAGACAGTCTCTTTGAGTGACGGGCGCTTGTCAAGATCTTTGCGCTGAGGCTCCTGACCAGTCGGACACAAACATTGGCCATAGCATCAGCTGAGTCGCTCATGATGCCACTAGCTGCTATAAGTCGACAGCTCCTTCCAACGGCCTATGGAGAGGGAATGCGACCAACACATTTCACTGAACATGGACCCTCAGCAAGCCGAACGATTGTACGGAAACGCAACACCTGAATTTGATCCGTCGCCCAAGCGCATGTCATGACCGACACGAGCGGCACCTCCACCAGGATCTCTGGAAGGGGCTCTTCGTCTAGCCGCCTGGGAATTCCAGGCCCTTTTTCAGTCAAACAGCTGCCCTCTGTTCCAAACAGAGGCCTGACTCTGTTCCAAGAGGGGTCTTCTTCATCAGGGTCTCAAATGATCTCAAATGCATGGGACCTCATGGGACCAAAGGTCGGACTGAAGCGGCCACTTCCCTTGGATCCCTCTCCTCTTCACTCGTACTAGAAGCGGCCGCCGCTCCTGAGGGTAAGGTAACTGCAAGGTGCAGCAGCGGTACCGCAGCCGTGTTCATTCGGGTAGCAATCTCTGAGGTTGAGGCATCCATTTTTCCATGAACAAAGCTGATCACATAGAGAGAGAGAGAGTTGTAAGCAGTCAAATACATTATGTATATACATATGCAATCACATACGTATATACGCATGCATATCTTGCAAGTCATTTCAAAGTTGCTGAAAGGCTGAAGGATCCAGAGTTAACATGCAAACTTGCTCCTAAAGCAAGCGTTTGTTGTGTAATATAGTTAAGACTTGCATCTCTGCAAGCTCTGCAATATCCGTGTCTTCGTCAACCCGTATGGTCAATCTTGTTGGCTGGAACCAAAAAGCTTCTCTGCGAGCAAATGTTGCCAAGCCACCTCATTCCAGCAGTGTTTGCCAGCATGAGGTAGTGTCAAAAGGAATCACGATAGATCTACAGGCGCATCCAAACTCTGTCTCTCATCACTCTTGACCGAATTGGGCATTGCAAGCTCGCGTCAGCAAAAAGCTTCTTTGATGGTAGACTTAGTTACAGCTCACTCGGCTCTTGACTCTGTTCAGTTCAATAACATACTCAGCTTAGCTGGCCTTGAGCAGTACAATCATCAAAACGATAAAACCAAAGGAACACTGCTCAGAACAATACATGCTCAAAATCCTTGTAAGCAAGTCGTGTTGATTGATCTGTCAAATGTTCCTCTATGACTCTGTCCATGTTCATCTGCTTGTGTCCGCCTTTACTTGCTGGCAAAGAAGTATCATGATAACAGAAAAGGTGAGTTGATTGGAAAACAGCTTTGAAAGTCACAAGTGCTGTATAAGCAAGCTACATGTTTCTCCTTTCTTCGTTCACCGTTGAAAGCCAAAAGAAGGAATAGATTGCCCACGTTAACAAGAATACAACAAAGCTAAGAAGGACCTGTCCTCGACTCTGATCAAGTAGGGCCAAGACTGCTCCCTTCTCTCCCTATATAATTGAAAGCTAGAACCGCTCCGACTTGCTCAAGAGAGAACCCTGCAGACTACAATGACCACCATTCATTAAGCTACTTAGTGGCTTGGTTGGTTGGTTTGCGATTTTTTTGGCCGGTTGGTCAGTTGGTCAGTGAATAATCCGTGGTTGTTTTTGCACACCACTGTACACAGGCAACTGTTATAGAGTCAGCGACCCCGTCAAGCTTCCTTTTTTGCTTCAGACATTCGAAGCAATATGTTGTGAGACGGCCAGCTGATGTTCAACTTGCCCTGAGAAGTTGAAGGTCCATTGGAAGCTGACTTACCAAGTCCAAGGTCGGGAATTTGCCAAAATCACTTAGCTAACCTCGTTACAGAAGTGCTTGTCAAACTGAAACTCCACAGAGCTCAAATCCATGTCAAGTATTGAGAACAAAGACTCTTGTCGCTGTTCGAAAACATCAAGACACCTTCCAAAGGCAAATCTTGCAGGGTGAGGTCATCCTCTGTTTGGACACGTCAGTAGCACCAATTGTTAAACGTCCAATGGTTTGGTGACCTTACTACACTCCCACCCTGCAGCTATTGTCGGAGATGGTTGATCTTGAGATCAAGACCTCATCGCCATGATTTTGAAGAGCGCTTGGATGCTTTGGAGCTTTCAGAAACAGGCTGCGAAGCTGTAGCCTTGGGCGCCTGAGGCCAGGAAGAGTTCAGAAATGCAGGTGGTTTCACAAGGTGTCACCTCATTCTACTTCTTTACATATGCATCGCATCTCTGGCCAACCCATATAAAGGGCTGAGTTTCAGCCCAAGATATACCTTTTCAAGTTGTAGTTGCATTTCTGCCCAAGACTACAACTTTGATTGAAACCCTTTGAAGCTGGAAGATAACAATTAAACCTAGATGGCCCGCACACGCACAGCTCACGCACGACAACTCAAGCATGTTGTTCTATAACCTATAATTTTACTATATGTTACTTGGGTGATGGCGCTGGTTGGCAAAGCCAATCTTGGTGGGTCGTCGTCGGCAAAAGTCAGCAACATATTGTGAGGTGCCCGTCTTTAAAGCCGAGCTGCTGCCGCTCTTTGGTTCTCTGCCAGCCTTTTGCGAAGCTCTTCAATCTCCTTCTCTGCGGCCTGCGGCTCTGGCAGCTGGGTATCCATGGTATCCACACGTTGCCCATGAAACTGGCTTTCCTGGGACGTTTGGTTTGTCCAAACAGTGGTGAGGTACCTGACTCCATCTAACTCCGACATCTCACGAATTCAGGACTATGTTAAAGCACTTTAGGAACAAAGAACTGCAAGCAACGCGCCTGCCGTCGTTCTCTTTCTATTTCCAATTCCTCGATGTTTGCAGCGTTGTCGTACAAATGTGTTGCAGAGGCTTCGCTGATGCTTTGTGTCTTCCTGTTCTAGTAGAATGCCCTATCCAAGGTGTTTAGTGATGTAATGTGAATGGTCAAAGGCTGTGAGTTGTGTGCAATCTAAACTATTGTGGGGCAATATCTGTGTAATTATGCGTGATTATGCATCATACTAAGTCTGTGTCTACTGTTGCCCAGTACTGAAGTTCAAAGGCTCAAATATCAGGCTTGACTTGAACTTTTCATCTGTAGACAAAGTACAAAGCCTCGCCAGTCTCCCGTGACTAGTAAGCCTTCATTATTCATGTTATATGCGTGGTGACGTCCCAACCCAACGCTTGCTGGCTGGTAGTCTGGCCGCTGAAGTGACGATGAATCCGAGGTCACTACCAAGGAGAGCACGGTGGATCGGCACGAAATCGCTGAAAAGGAGGTTGAGGCCGAAACTCCTGCTTCATCCAAAAGTATCAGCATAATTTAGAAGAATCCCAACAGAAGACGGGCAGAAAAAAGGACGGAGAACAAAAAAAAACAAAAACATCGAACAGAACCAAGTTGGAGATACTGAGTTAGCCAGTCACAAGCCAGTCTTGTTTTTTCTTCAACGACACCACATACGTTACCAAACACAAATCCGATACATCGCAGGATACGGTCTGAGGTCTTGAACAAAAAACAAACAAGAAAGGCCGAACAGAGCGTTCTCTTACATATTGTTCCTTTAGACATTTGGACTTAGACTCTATTAGACTCTGACCTCGCTGTTTTTCCTCCCTTTCTTTCCTTTCTTGCTACAAACAAGAAGTTTTCCGAATACAGTAACCCGAACTAGCCATTGCTGCTCGATCATCTCTGGAAGAAAGCCAACGAAAAAGGAACGCACACCAGGCGCACGTGAGGAAGCGGTTCCAAGTCGAGGCGTTGCCTTTGCCTTAGCTTCTCTTCCAAATTCGATTAGCGCCCTGGTCATCCGACCTAATCTGCAATACCTATTTATGTGATGCAATTTTGTGAAATGTCAAATGTCGACACGATCTGTGCCTGCTTTTCCAAGCTTCCCACCTTCTCCAAGCGTCCTACCTGTTATCACCATGTGTCCATGCTATCTATACCAGCTGACTCACTTCACATCTTCCCCACCTCACTTCCTTCTAAAATCTCTTTACCTGGACGACACGCCGAGAACGTGTCTGACAACACACCCTCAATGATGAAAGTACTTGAAGTATACAGGATGAAGTGAAGCGCTTTGTCTCAGCTATACCATAACCGATCATAACCATCTCTGATCGGCTTCGTCAAAAGTCAAAAGAGTCAAAAGAGATCCAAGCATATAAATATATGCTGTCGAATCAAATGCGTTTCATAGTCATTTCATGTTGTTTCAAAGTTCAAATTGTCTGGTCAATGTCGTTCGCCTCGAGATGCAAGTGTGCCTTTCGGCTCGAGTCGAGGTGCATGTGGCCTCCTTGTGCAACTGTCTAAAGTTCCGCTAATGGTGGCGGAATGCAGCAAGTCGACAGTCTTTCTAGTGTCTTCAGATCTGCCGGTAAGCCTTTTTGGTTGCCGGGTCAAATGCAGGCCCTTTGCACATAAGATCTGCTCAAAGGGGGCCGTGAGTCATGGTTCACCGCTTTTTGCAAGTGACTTTAGACCTCGGATTGAAAGACGGCTTGCCGTTTTGTCCTTCCGGTGATGGGGCAGCTCCACTCCAACCTGAAGTGTCTTGAAGATGATTGAAGATCTTGAAGTGCGCTGAGTACATCAAATCAAAGTACATTATATACTCGGTTCGGTTGACTCCATAATCCACCGAGTTTCGCAAAGGTCCAGGCACCTGTTGTACACAAAATAATACACAATACATCAAAACACGAGAATCCCCCTCTTCCTGCAGAAGCCGTCGAAGCAGAACAATGAGATACACTCTCGACTTGACCATGTCGTTCTTCCTTGGACTCCACTGGATCCAGCCCTGAACGCGGTCCTAATCTCGGTTGGAGGCCATCGCGCTAGTAGGGTGGAGGCCATCGCTCTTAGGTTGGAGGCCATTCCTTCAAAGCCTCAAAAAGATTCAAAAAGAGGTGTCAGTCCAGGTTCCGCTCCAGACCAAGCTACACGGATTGGGCGGTCGCACGCACCGCTGCACCCTGCGCAGGAGACTTTGACAACACCGAACTTCTCGTGCGCTCATCGACGACACCAGCAACCCTTCAGAAGCCTCACATGGCTTTTATTGAACATCCCCATCAAGAGTGTCCTATTTGCTAGAGCCGCAAAACAGCATGCGAGATCTAAAGTAGCTGTAGCTGTTCAAGTGCAATGCAAACGAGCTTGCTGTTCCAACCCTGGAATCGGTCACTCTCTAATGCAAAATGCAGGATGGTCATCATTCCTCTGCCCCAACCCAGATTCACGGTGTCATCTTCGAGATATCGGAGACCTGAGGTCCCATGAGATCGCCGCGTCACATGCCGCGTTCTACAGGGCGTCTCCGGGTCGCACACTTGGGGCCTCTTCAGCATCAATGCGATTCCGCCAGAACTTCTCATTCTGCACCGGATTCTTGGGCTCGGCGCCGACGTAGTAGGAGGTCTCCATGGCCACGCCCGGAAAGCTTCAAGGTACCGTCGGCAGGCGCCAAAGAATGATTTCTTGGTAACTATCTCTGCTGTTTTCAATGAGTGAGCATGAGTGTGCATTCCTTGTTCAAGTCATTTTAGGTGTGGGACCACAATAATTTTCAAAAAGGTGGCGGTAGTGTGCGGTAGTATCAGGTAGTTTAGGATGTTCTGCAGGCTAGGAGTCCGCCTGAGTGTGCATCCTTGTCTGCAAGTGACCTGCTCCACCTACCAAGCCACACTTGTGCCAAATTCTGTCAGTCGGCGGTGCGGCTGGTCCAGTTGGGCAAAAGCATCTACTGTATGTACGAGTTTATATAATGTTATGCCAATAAATTGGGTCTTTCCTATTACCTGTAACAGTGGATGATGATGATGGTTAGTAGAGGCGGTGTCCAAAAAATAGTGATAAGTGATAATTGTTTACTGACTGTTACAGGGAATAGGACAAACTCTATATAACTAAATATATAAGCTGTTTTCAGGATCCGTTTGAGCTACAAGTACTTGTTGCTTTTGTTGTACTCATTGCCTTCGATGGACTTGAGCAATGCGTGTTGGAATCCGGAGTTTGCTGGAGCCTGCTTGTTGCTTTCAACGCATCCAGCCGTCGGTGGATCAGCTTTTGCTTTGTGCGGGGTAATGCCTGTTACTTGGAGACATCGGGGCAGGAAGCCACGTCTCGTGAAACGGAGCAGTGACACTGCTCCCCTGTTGTCTTTTGTACACAAGAGTTGGTGAGGAAAGAGAAGCATTGCTCTTTCAGTCACCACATGCGCAGCGCGCACGGCTGACAATGCACCTTTGTCTCAAGCACCCTTCACCAAATGCTACTGCCTTGTCATCTGGGTGGCTGTCCACCGCTGGCGGTCGCAGGCCTGGCACTGCAAAACTCGGCGTACAAGACAAGCTGCAATTACAAGTACCAGATGCTGTGCGTGGCACACACTCGTCTTGCAGGCAGGAATGTAGAATGTAGAGGTCTTGCTGAATCAAACTGACTCCGTGGTGAACACTGTTTGGAACATACATCCCTGTGCTCCAAGGGCAAAGCCCAAAGCGCTCATCCATGGCAAGCTTCGCTACCTCCTCAATAGCTTGCCTCCTGGCAGAGAGCAATTCCATCTCCACTTCAAAGGGACAGTGCATCAGTTCTTCGACTGTTGTACATTCGAGAGTTGCACAGGCTGCGGTCCCTTGGTCTCAAGTGAAAGGCAACCCAAATCAATCCAGTGATCTGTCCTGGCTTGTGCTTCTTTCTCAAAATCTGCCGCAACGCTTGATGAACCCATTTCAGGCTGCATGTACCTGTACAAATCCAACATCCCCACGTGCACATCTTTGTACAAACAATACTGCTACCATTGAACCATCCTCGAACCAACACCAACACCGAGGGCACGCATGTACGCATGCGGATCCAAGCGCCATTGAGCCAAAGGACGCTGCCTAAAGCAGGACAAGTGGCCAAGCACTTGGCCAGGCTCCTTCAAGTCTGCCGTCTAAAGTCTTGGCTCTAGGTCAAGGACCAGAGTACCAATATAATGCCGTAGAGGCATTCCCATCGCCTCAAGTCAGTCAAGTTGTCGGAACTTCAAATTTCGGCTGGTGTTTCATCGCATGGAACCAAAAAAAAAATCAATGATTGTTAACTGGGTAACAAATGCACGTGTCTAGTCTTCTTTCCTCCTGCCTGATGTGTTTTGACTTCGTGTCTGGATAATATCATAATATCTGAAACACATTCCAGGATCCTGGCCATGGTTGGCCTACCAAACAGCCGGATAGGTCCGACAATCCCAACCCTCAAATGGCCCCACTCGGCCTTGAGCAAAATCACCTGATTCATTGCTAAATCCAATTACCAAGAAAAATGCGGTGCGGGCGAAAGACTCCAACCTTTTAACAGTTCCTGTCTCCGCACGTGAAGGGGGGTTCGAGTGGTTTTCAAACTCAACAGTTCGTTGGCAAATCCCTCCAAACAGAGCACATGTCGGCGCTGAGGACTGAGTTAGCTAGAATGAAAGGACGGTTTTGGCAGCATCGAACACCACTGAATCTCAAAATGGAAATACATGGAAATACGAACTATGAAATACTGAGAGTGAAGATGTGGCGCCAGCCATCGCAATCTAACTCGCATCCTTTTCGGAAAGAGCACTCTGCTTGAGCGGCACGGTACAAGTACATTTGCGCTCTGCGAGGCCGTACGTGGTTCCAATCTGCGGTGCTCGCAACACCCAAAGAACGAAGACCCGCAAACAGTTGACCGCACACAAGCGTGAGTCAGAAAAAATGTAAATGTACACTTAAAATAACCTACTTTGCCAATAATGATCCCCACCCATAGTAGCGATTTTGAATAAGAGATCCAGAGGCTGGGGCTGGAGGCCAAAGACTGGGGCTTAGAATTAAATCTATTCTTGTTATTGATATAGCCAGCACGCCGCATGCCTTAAATTCAATTCTAAGCTCCTCCCTGACAAAGCCACAGTGGCTCAAACAGTGGCCCATGTCTGATGGAATCAGGTTAAGCCTGAATGTGAGCCCCCTGAGCCACAGAAACACGTGGGACATAGCCAAGATTCAAATCGCAGCTCATGGCTGGATAACTGGCAATCAAATGCAAGCTACAGGGAGGTAGATAAAAATGCTTGAATTCAGATTGCGCCCATTTGCGATCTGAAATCCAGCTTGTCTTGTGGTTTGACACATCATCTCATTAGCTACCGTCGCGGCTGGGAAGTGTCCAGGGATATGTTCTGACGTCCTCTTTGGCATGCGTTCTGGCATTTGTGCTGCTAGTTGCGCTCCGTCATCTGTCATGTATTCCGACATTTGTTCGGACATTCGCCTGGAAAGTGTCCCAACGTTTGTTCTGATACGTGCTCTAGCGCGCAATCCGACATGCGTTCTGACCTTCGTCTGACAAGTGTTCCGACTCTGATACGGTTACTACAATAAAATACGCGGATTTAAAATAGCCGAACAAGTATTTTAATGCACCTCCGTGAAGGGTCTGGCGGGGCCGCCCAGCCATTAAAACATGCGGAAACAGAAGTTGTGAGCTCAGTAACACAGACACTTCCTAGACCTAAAGGCTCCTTGCTGGAAACAAGGAAACAGGAAAAATGCCTGCAGGCCACTGTTGGATATGCCTTGCGAATACAACCAAAAAATATTGCTGGAAACAGCTGTCAAGCTATATACGTGGAGGGCAGTGTGCGATTGCCTCTTCAAGGCTCTGCGTCAGGTACAGGCTACGGACAGGCCCTACTGGAAGGGTGAATGGTGACCCCGCCTGCGCGGAGACTAGCGCGGCCTACGTGGAGGCCTACATGGAGGCTCTATGTGAGAGGAATGGGGCCTATGAAGGGTTAACGTGGAAGCCTGCCCGTTGAGAACATGAATAGAGTAGTTATGTTGCTATCTGGGGTTTACACTGGTGTGCACCACGCTCGTGTGGGCGCGCGCACGATAGCGAACGCAACCTAGCCACGAAACTCCGCAAACTCTCGGCGCACAGGCTTTCCCAAAGGTCAGTTTTCCAACAGCCGTGATGAGGAGAATCTTTGCAGTAACAAAAACTCCTTGCCCCCGCCTGCGCCAACCAAGATACCGAAGCTCTTTTTTCAAGTCTCTTTGCTTGCCGCCTTTGTTCTCACCACTGCTCCAGTTCCTTCGCCACTCGAATTGGACATTTCTGCAACATGCCTTTTGGGCCGCTTCGCTTGTCCAACACGATTGCCACGCGCAGCTTTGGCTTGGAGGGCGAGCTCAAAGGCTGGTGTACAACAATGCATCCAAAGGCCACCTCTAGCTACCAAGGACTTCGCCAAACCACTGAAATGGCCGTCTATGTGGAGGGGGATGCCCCACATTATGGCAATTAATCTTCCTATGTGGAGGGCCGAAGCAAGTAATCATCCTACGTGGATAGCCTCTGGCACTTTGTTGCCAAGTCACTGTTGGCTCGGAACGGTGCAACAAGGTCTTGGACGTGGCTTCGATGCCACAGGGAAGCAATTATTTAGATGGTTCAGCAACTCTTGGGAGACTGCATGATACACTTTCCCAGTCTCCAAGGATGGTAGGTGACTGCACCCCACAGTCTGCACCTGGCTTGTGTTGGACCCAGTTGGCTAGCATGCGCGCTATCTATGTGGCTACTGTATACGGTATACTCCTATATGGGTGGCCCCTGCACACACAAACACACACTGGGGAATGAGTTTTGGAGTGTGGAACGTTAGGATGATGGTGAAGCACAGGACCTCCTAAGCGTGTGTCCTTGAAGACTCGAGACAAAGCAGATTTGGCGACACCATCGATCAAGTCAAAAGAAACCGACAAGATTAGTATACTGTCTAGCGTGCTGGGTTCTCGGCTTAGCCCAGTTGCCATTCACGGAAAACGCTCAACGCAGGTACGTGAGAGTGATCAGCTCTCATATCCCGTACAGTCAGGTAGCTTCGTTGGACATCGTCCCTGATTGTACGCCATGTCCCCCCGCTCTCAAAATTTTCAACTCCAAGAGTTCAACGTCCGCATGTTAGAGCGGTGTACACACACACACACATGGCCCTCCCTACGGAGGGCTCAGACTTCAGGTCTGAGAAAAGTTTTAAAGTTGGGACTACCTGCAATCAATTTGCGGTACGGCAACACTGTGAAGCCTAGAAAGAGGGGAGTCCTCGTACCCAACCAGGTGGTTTTGACAGCATAGAATGAGTTCCTTGCGCCCATCACATCAAAGGCACAAACCTCGAATGTCTGACCCCTGCTCTCAAAATTCTCAATTGCGATGGACCTGCAGGGACCCAAGCCGGCAGCTCTCCACATCATGGCACAGAAGACAAGTGTTGAGCTACAAAAACTACATGTGGTTGGCCCCAATCAGTGAACCAATGGTTACAATGTGGTCCTTATATGGTCCTATGCATGGCGTTCCTTGCTCCAAGTTGTGAGACGTGGACCACTGCTAAGATCGTCTTTTCTGGAGCCTCAACAGTCAGAGATGGTTGATGGTTGATGGGCCTTGCGCATTAATATTGAAAGAAAGCACTCAAAGGTCACCTATGTGGCAGGGCCCACGGCTACGTCATGGAGGGGTCATAGGGCCGGTGTGGAGCCCTCACCCAGGTGTACGTGGACCTGTGGAAGGCTACGTCGCTAGATGGAGGGGGTCATGATGAAACTCACACACCAAGGAGGCGTGGACCTACTTTGCATGGTCCAACATGCCGTCAAGGGCACCCAGCCGCCCAGGTATCCAGAAAAGGCCTCTGGAGGCTGCCAGCCGCTGCAGAGGCTCGCCACCAGAGCGCACCGCCGATTCGGCTCTGGTGGTTGGCTGGTGTGTGGAGAAGGGGGCCAGCAAACATTGCCTAAACGAAAGTAGTGCGTCAAAAATACCTTCCACAAGGTTCTGCGAAGGCTTCTGGGATTGTGTTGCAGTGACTTTTCCCACTGGCCCGCCATTCCACGAATGCAGAAAGAGTGGCATGGGACATTCGTGGAACCCAGGGCTGTGAACGTTCCGTGTGCCTCTGACCGCTCCCCTACCCTTAGAAAACTCCTAAGCACGCAGTGAAAATATGCGGAGCCGGCCATGGCCTGTAAACATGCGGATAGAATAGGTATGATATGGTATTATACACTGCCTCTGGAGGGGTTGCCCTGGGCCCGGCCTCCACATATTTTAATGGCGTAACCGTATGTGTTCTGGCATGCATTGTGACATCTATTATGAAGTATGGCATGCGCGCTGCCATGTGTTCTGTCACCGTGTGCTCTGATATGTGCTCTGTCACCTGCCAAGGTCCAGCACGCACCACTCTGCAGCCCGAAGTCGGGAAGGCTGGAGGAACTGGCGGCAAATGTGGTAGCGGCAGAGCGGATCTGAGGTATCTAGAGACCCTCGCCTGACAGGTCGGAACAAAGAAAGGTCTACATAAAAGAGTCCAAAGGTCTAAGACTCGTCCAACTTCAGCATATCATTGGGGGCAACGTTCCATTCAAGATCCGGAACAGCCTCGCAGCTGGTTCAGGGGGCACTGGCACCTGGCAACATCTGAAGGTGGCTGTGAATTGTTTCACAGATTGGATTCGATCGGATTCCCTGCGATGAATCTCTGAACAGTCCCATGACTTGACTCGTGAATCCTTCGGACGCACGGTCGTTGTTGCCCAGTCGTGGCGGGTAAACATGACACTGAACTGAGAGTCAAAATCACAAATGAGGGGTAAACGGCCTTGAATTGCCATTGTATGTTATTGTCAACATCTGTGCCAAGGTTTTCACAAGTTCCTGCTGCACCAGGCCTCGGTGCGGCGCTTGAAGACCTGTTGCACTAGGAGCAATGGCCACTGTGGACCAAAGAGAAAAGGCCTAAGCAAAGAGTCTGATGCTCCAGGAGGTTTACATCGCAAACCCGCACATATCTGTAAGTCGCAGGAATAAAAGGATTAAAACATCTGACACATCATTTTATCATGTGATAAATCAGTGATAAACATCATTGCGGTCAACTGCACGTCTGCCATGACTATGGCCACACGTTCTTCCTCGGTTCTGCTAGGAGCGCGGCAAAGCGAAGCAGCCACAAACGCTCCAAGAGCCGCAATGCACCTCTCTCCGTCGGCGTAACCAGTGGATTTGTCGAGTCATATCTGGTCTGAGCAGTGACATCTTTGTCTCATTTGTCTCTATGTTCTCTATGTCACCGTTGATTTGTTCTAGTCAATGGACAAAGTACAGGGAGGAGCCTAAATCTATGTCATTTATTTAAGGTCTATTTTAATTCAGCATAATTGAGTATATTTGTACACATTGAGTACTACATTACATTGAGTGTCAGTTCCTTTCTCTCCACAAGCTCTAAGAAGTGAGAAGCAATTCCATGCGTTAGTGCCTTGGGTGCGCCGGTTTGCACGCCGCAAGATGCCAGGGCGCAAATGGCGCGTCTGCATATACTGAAGCCTGATGAGGAAAACATGTAGACGTGGGGGCGACTTGCTGAGCTTCCTCAATGCATCTGGCTTTCCATGCTGGACGTCATTTGGAACCCCAAAGACCTCCAAAGCGACTCCTTGTTACCCAACATCTTCTCCCCCCTTCAACCATCCTCAGCCCATACCTCAACACCCTTCTTCCAACCGCTTCGTGTTGTCAAATCCGCTTCATCTTCCGACTTCGTCCTTCGTCCTTCGTCGCTGTCGCCGTCTGTCGCCTTCCTTTGGAGGCCAAGGTCGCTTGGAGCCACACGGCGAAGAGCGCTCGGCAGCACAACGTCGTGAGACTGACGGTGGAAGGAACACGTCGTCGGGAAGCGTGGATAGGTGCGACCCATGGGACCCATGTAGCCGCATACATCTGTGTAAGGCCGTGTTTGTACATGGCGTGTGAAACAATGCCGGCCTGGTGACCAGGAAAGTGGAAGATGAACTGAAAGCCTGCCAGCAGAAGTTCCACATGCTTCGAGTGTCTTTACCAGGGTACGCAGGGTAAATAGGTATGACCGAGCAGCCTTTCATGCGCCAAACAATGGGAAACGCGCGTGTGAGAACACAGCCTGCACCAAATGCTTCTGTGTCTTCTGTTGGTCCCGCCAGGTGACGAAGACCGATCTCATCAGGAAGAACCTTTGGGGTTCGCTGCAGCAGTTCGCAATTCACGTTTGGGGCCAAACATGGGCTTACAAGTTTCAGCAAGTTTCGAGATGTTTCGATCAAATTGGGTGACCAGGAGCGGGGTTGGAGCCTATTTGACCTGAAGGGCAAGAACTGAGAAGCAACCAATTCCCTTTCTTCGTCTCAGGCCCCAACAGGCCATCAAACGCCCAATGAGAGAGCTGCCTGCACTGCAAACATTCATATAGTATATTCAAGCACCCTGGAGAAAATTAGACATCCAGCAAACTGGGCACCTGTTCCGAAACACCACCACATTAAGACCGTTCAAGACTCTTCCATGACTGTTGGCGCACGACACGAGGAGCCAACCTCTGACACTCTGGCCTGATTTGCAGATCGGCTTGCCGCGGATCCCATCTGGACGGTGGAATCGACTCCTCGTAACACATCGGACAAAACACGTGTCGTAACACATCCTCCGAACATTTGGGAGCGAGCTCCGTAACCAGGGCGACCACAACTGCCTTCTCTCCTCGGCTCGTTCAGACCACAAAGGAGTCGTGTGCGGCGTGCGAGCCTCATCTGACTCATCCTGGAACAAGGCTTCGCACATTGCTGAGCGTTGCTTTGCACATTTGGTACCCAGTGAGCTGGTGTCTAGACTCTAGACTGATCAAGCATTATCAACCTATGGTCGGGATGCCCTCCTGCGTGTCTTCCAAAGCAGCTGCCAACTCGGCCTTGCGTGTGAGGCTGAAGAAGCGATCTGTCCGTGGCCCAACAACAAGTGTGCAGTGTGGCCTCGAATCGCGCTTGAAAACACAAGCATGATGCAAATATAAATCAATGGCCATGTGCAAGCACGCCATGTACGGCCATCATCCCGCGTATTTCAAGGCCACGTCCCCACTGGGCATGATTGGGTGGCGCTGGGCTCCCCTCAAAGCGCACCTCCAAAGCTTGACTCCTCAAGCGGGAGATTTCCTTGGAAATGGCTGATCATCTGAGTGGAAATTGAGAGCGAAAAACCATGAGCTAAGTAGCTACCCTCTTCCAAACAAACCAAGGAAAATATCCGTTCACTTGGGATCTCTGGGACGATGGGGTGGGAGCTTGGGAGCTGTGAGGAACTGGCTTTGACTGATTCTTCACCACCAAGCATCGCAACGTGCCTCTGCTCGTCGAAGCGCTTCGTCCGCAGCATTGGCAGAGACTGCACTGGGTGGTGAGAGGAGCTCCCTGCAGTCTCTGTCAGCAGACTTGGACTGGTGTAAAGCCATGGATCGTGATTGATGGTCGGTAGTGGTTCCCTCCTGATGCCCCTGACATGTTCCGGAAATCCCTCGGCACAATGTCTGTCATAAGTTGCATATCAGCTACCAACTCAGGCGTTTAGTTTTGTCATGGTTTGTCCATTACTCGTATTATATACTTGGCATCTGACACAGCCTCTCCAGATGTTTAGCCATTCCAAAGTGCCTTGATTTTCTTCCCAAGCATGTTCATCTTCCAGGCTTGGATGCAGGATAGCGTTCAGTTCGGTGTCTCTCTCTCTCTCTCTATCGCTCTGTCTCCCTCTCTTCATCTCCCTCTGGCCCAAGGTCTTCCATCCAAATGCGTCCAAATGGGGTGGTCAAGCAACTTGGTTACAAACAGCTTGATGGCTCATGGGACTCAGATGGACTCAGAGTGGCCAGAATTTTGGCAGTTGTATTCCAACACCTCTCTTCACGGGAAAGGAAAAAATATAGGACCTACTAGGACGCTACTAGTAGCTCCTGGCATCGCTACTAGGAACAAGAACGCTACTAGGGGCTCCTGGTCTTACTACTAGGAGCAAAGACGCTACTAGGAGCAAACGACCAAGGGCTTTTTCTGGGGGAAGGGCTTCGCAGCTTCGCCAGGTGTACCAAGCGGTGCGGTGGCACAACCACACCGGACGAGGCCCCCCCACCCCGGACGGGCTCCTTGTCAAGCCCTTCTCGGCAAAGTCCCCCTGAGCTGGATACTGGTCCAGTAAGTCATTGATTTATAATTACATTTACATATATCATGTTACTTAAGTACGTTGCCAGGTCCACAACATGTCGTGGTAATGACTCGAAGCTGTTCTTAATATGCTCAGACCTTGTATCTAAGTGTGTTCAAGCTGGTTTCGGTTGAACAAACAAGAGAATAGGCTATGAAGGTCCTAGCAAGGGAGTGCCTGTTTTGGCTTCACTACTTAACGGACGTGGATGCAAAGGCATGCAAAGACTGAAACCTAGGTAACCTAGGCATCGCTTATCCTTCTTTGAAATTGGGACTTGTGGCAACGCTCAAGCCGCCTTCAGCGAAAGTTCCCGCCACCATTCTAGCACGCACGCTCGAAGCAATTTGGTCCTTGGGTGACCGACGAGTTCCTCTGAGCACATGACATGACAGACCGCACAAACCCCATTGATCCCCATTGCCATAAGACACAAGACTGCCTTGATGCAAGTTTGAATATTCAAGGAAGGCATCGGAAGGCATTAGAGTATCAATGAGGATCATTTGGACACCAAGAATTGTGCACTGTGCAAAGCCAATCCAAGGGACTGCTGTATTCGCTCAAGTTCTTTGGCGACTCTTCCAGCCTGGCGACTCTTCTAGTTCGCTACGGCTACGCATTGCTCGGAATCTCGGCACTTCTCAAACAGGCCAGCAGAAACCCAGACCCTTGCTCCAATCTTCCCCTCCTCACTGACTCATTTACACGCACAAAAGGCACATATGGAAATAGGATGAAATATAATATATATATATAATTAGGTATTTATATGTATTGATCAACTGGCCAGTATGATTTGACACATCAGGATACATCAGGCATCTATCCAACAACTCAAAGATTTTGTGGGATTCAAACTCAATGATTCGATGGGCTCCTGCACATGTCGAGACCAAGCCTCCTCTGCCTGTTCGTGCCTCCTACGCATTTCATGGGCTTGAAATTCCACCTGGTAAAGCTTTGAAGCTGCACTTTGGCGCTCTGCTTCAGCCATTTCAGCCAGTTTCTTTGCATGTGCTGCGTGCGTTTCCTGAAGCTCATGCTGCTGACGGAGGGACTGCCTCAGCTCTTCTTGCAATTCATGGGCCATTCTTTCGGTATGTATCTCATTTCTTTCCAGCGCCTGCCGTTCAGCCAGCCGCTGTTCTGCCAGTTGATTCTCCTCCAGCTCGAAATGCCCTTCGTCAAGACGCAGGCGACGGCATATGATGTCTTGCACGTGCAGCTCGTCAGACAAAGCGTTGCAGCGGTTCTCCGCCTCAAGGGCTTTTTGCCTCATCTGTGTGGCTTCTTCCGATGCCAAAGAGACCAAATGCTGGGAATCAGCCTCTGGCAAATCCGAGTGCAACTTCAAGATCTTTCTCAATGACGCACCATTCTTTCTGGGACGAGAAGTTGCCTCTGCATCTGCTGAAAGACTCTTGAGCGTCTGGCGAAGTGCTTCGGAAGCCTCCTGCTCTGCTTGGAGTTCATTTCTGAACAGGTCATGATCTTTCTGCCTTTTCACTGCAATTTCTTCGCGAACCGCGCGCAGAATTGCACACTCAGCTTGCGCGTTTTCCGCTTCGCACATCTTTGTGTGCTCAAGTTCCTTTCTAAGCAATCTCATTTCTTGCCCTTCCTGATGATAAAAACTATGCTGCATGCCCTGCATCTGTTGCACTTGCACTTGCATCTGCTGTAACTCCACATCCCTTTCCCTAGCAGTAGTTGCTGCCTCCCTGGCAGACCGTAACTCCTCTCGAAGCTCACGGCAGGTGGCCTCTTCCGACTGCGAGAAGGTAGACAACTGTCGACCCAATTGCAGGGCCTCCTCCAGTTCTGAGTGCTTTGAGACGAGACTTCTTTGGAGTCTCAAGAAGGAAACGGCTTGGCGCCATGCCGCCAAACACCAAAACAGAGTGTTGGCAGCCCTGGTTAACACGATCAAGCCTGGCAGAGGCTTGCAATGTGTCTGAACCTCCTTCTCTTCTGATTTTTTCCCTTCACTTGGAATACCAGCCCTTTGTCTGGTTTTTTCCCAGTGATCTGGATCTGGCCTTCGTTCTTCTGCCGTTTCAAAAGCCACCTGTTCGTCCTCTTGAACCTCCCAGGGCTTCCTCCCTTCCCGATCGCTCCGCCTCCCTTCCCTTGGCGTGGGTGGCCGCGTCCCGATGCCAAAAACAGCTGGAGGTCTTGGTGACGGAGGCCGAATAGCCCGGCTGGACGTGGTTGAAGAGCCCGGCTGGACGGCTGGAACAGGTCGGGTGGAAAGAACGCGCTCTCGTTCTTGGTGGTTTACCTGGTTCCGCAGCTCACGGGCGATGAGTGGAATGACAAATCATCGGTCACTCCAAAACAATTAATTATAAACAATTATATACATCAAAATAATTCAATAGTTAATGGCATCACAGCCTCCTTCGCCAAGAGATTACATCAAAGAAAGAATTAATTACATCGTCGGTCACTTCTCTTGGCCTTGAAGGAGGCTGTGATTGTGTCTTTCTCCGTTCCTGGTCACCCCAGCCACAGCCTTGCCTCGAAGGTAATCGGCTCCATTGTGACAGGCTCCACTGCAATAGGCTCCGCTTCTATCGACAAGGGATGGCTCACCTGGTCGACAAGGTTGGGTGCCGATCGGTCGGTCTCAGGTGAATCGCATGTTTGGATTAGCTTCTTGCTCCTGGTGGTAAGGCCAGGAGCCCCTAGTAGCTTCTTGTTACTAGTAGCGATGCCCTTGTTACTAGTAGCTTCTTGCTACTAGTAAGAACGCCAGGAGCGCCCCTAGTAGTGTCCTTGCTCCTAGTAGCGATGCCCTTTGCTCCTAGTAGCTTCTTTTTGCTAGATGTTTGGAGGCACCACAACCCTTTCGGAGGCCCTGCCTTCGCGTCGAGATACGGGATCAGCAATCTCACGTCATTATCTTGCCATCCTTGCACTTCTGCCCAGGCCTCCATGCAATTCTTTCAACAGGTTAACTCAAAAACACTCAAATATGGTTACATCTTATCTCTATAGTTCCTTCTCATCTATTGTATTGTGCGTCGTCCAAGGTGCTCGGAAGTGTCAATGAAAGAGAATCTCAACTGCTCTGTGCATTTCAAATCATGCTTGATCTATGGGACGCTACTAGGAGCAAACGGCATCGCTACTAGGAGCAAGGACGCTACTAGGGGCTCCTGGCCATACTACTAGGAGCAAGAAGCTATTAGAATAAAAACTTAGAATTAAGTTCAGTGGGACAAAAGTCCGCTCAGCCTGCCTCGGGACATTGGGTGACATTGCTGCCAGTGTAGCTCGCATTGCCTAAAGGACTAGCTAGCACGGACCCGCTTGTCTGGGCTCTGCACAGAAACAACACAGAGTTGTAATCACTTCAGCTGGCTCACACCCTTGTTGCAAGTTCTCCTCAATAAATCTCGCTACCGTCCTTTTTGTCCATCACTTGAGCTACTTTCAAACAAATGCGAATGTCACCTGTCTGCGCGGCGGTGAAAGCATGCTAGTCATTCTGCAGCCATGGTAATAAAAAAACAAAGAACCCGACAATCTCTCTCAACCCTGAGGATTCTTTGTGGTTTCTCTGCCCTCGACAAGTACGTGGCATGAGGAAACGCTAGTAGCGTCTGTGAGTTGTGCATCTACACATGGGGAGTTGGCTAGGACTAGATTTCTGAGGTATCACTGCAGGTATCGTTAGTATCCTTTGGGTATCGCTCTAAAAAACATGTTTGTCCAAAACACATGTCCAAATATCATTGGAGTTAGCATATTCCTGGAACAGGGATCGCTCTTCAGGGATCCTATCGCTATACACAGTGATTGCAGAGTTTTGCGAAGTCAATGGCGGTTCATAGGATGCTTTGATATGTGTTGGCCCTCTCTTACTTTCTTTTGAGCAAAAAAAGATCGTCTCTGATGCCGCAATCTGTGCCCCCGGACTTTGAAGCTCATCTGCGTCTCCGCCCTTGAAACGGAGCAGAAAAACGACCGTGGAATAGAGGGAATCGGGAGACGGATACGAGGCTGTGGACTCGCCTGCAGCTGGGCCAGCGTTTCGTGCCGTAGAGCTAGAGCTTTCGACAGCATCCAATGACCTGATTTGATGATCTGGATCTGGATCTAGTAATGCCCTTGTTACTAGTAGCGATGCAAAGTGTTTATGGAGACGACATGACTTGTCCTTTTGCTCACATTGAAACCGTATCAGAAGGAAAACGAAGGTCAAGAATCAAAAGGTGCCAAAAGAACTCTCCACAGTCACAACCTGTCACAACTGAGCCAAATCTGCCGGGAGGCCCATTCCACCGTTGGCACTACCTGCCACAGAAAACATCAGAAAACAAAGAGACGACGATTCTTTGGGCTGCGCATGTTCCATGGTCTGCGTGAGTTTCTCTCATGTTGCCTTTCTTGCATGCCGGAAGAGCCAGAAGACCATCCAGTTGCGAAATGTTCAGAGAAGTCTAATCTTTGGACTTCTCTGATTGGAGGAGGCAAACAAAGGTTTGGTCATGTTTGGTCGACAAAAAGTGTTTCTGTGGGAGGAGTCCTTTGTTGTGCAGCATCGCACAATAATCTTCGGAGGCTGTTCCTTGAGACACTTAGATAGTTTCCAAGAATCTTCTGAATTTACCTAAGTGGTGAAATGTACGGTGCATGTGAGAAACCTTGAAAGCAAAGTGATGAGCTCAGTATGTCAACGGGTTGAGACGGAAGAATCCGCTGAGAGCCACAAACATGCACATTAAAGCCAACCGTGCATAACTGCATGCGGGCTTCTCGGAAGCCAAGGCCTCCCAGTGACTGACGAAACAAGTGGAGCTGAGAAGCAACGGGAGCATCTCATTGTCAACGTGATTTCTCAACGCAGGGCAGCCACCCGTGTTTCAGCGGACTAGTCGTACTCAACCTGGGCTTGTCTTGTGCACCAAATGCCAAAGCAAGCTATCAACGCTGGCAAGCATGTTCAAGTGTTGCTTGATCAGGCGTACTTCAATGCAACAAGCTCAACTTTCCCTTTTTGTCCCAAGTTCCTGGCCTCTTGGTGGCGTCGACCTTTGCCAAGATGCCGGAACCTCTGCTGGTCCCCCAGGCACTCACACTGGGAGACCACGTAGGCAGTGGGCAGATTGCTTACAGGTTCCCATGCACCTCTCTTTGTCACTCCATATTCCCCTGCTACATTCTTCCACTGTTGAGGGCTTCACTTCGGTGCCAGGCTTCCTGTGCACGTCCAAATAGCTTGGAGCTTTGAAGGCTTTACACATGCCCGTCTCAACAAGGCTCGCTATTGACTTGCTGTGTGGTGTTTGTCCGCCCTATATACATATGCTATATATATAGTATTACCCAGGCTACCAGGATTAAACATCCCATTTCAACTGCATTCCCAGCACGCATCGCGCACTTCCTACAATTCTGCAATTTCGTGTAATCTCTCCCGGCTCTGCTTGGCAAAACTGTCCTCCATGTCCACCATGGGTACCATAGTTGGCCCACTGGCCACCCTTGTTCGAGTAGTAGTCCATCGGATAGACCTTGTCGATTACTCGTAGTTCCGCGGATTGGATACTCACCATGGTGGGGTCACGTCCCACAGCACTCATGCGAAGATGTGTTGGTTTTGCAGATCGTCCCCTCCATTCGCGGTCCCCTACTTGGACACATCAGCGACAAGCATAGTTTCGAAGACGTGAGACTTGGTCACATCTGGTCACACTGATTTGCTGAAGGGGTAATAGCAAGAAGCTACTAGTAGCTCAGGGCATCGCTACTAGTAGCAAGAAGCTACTGGTCTGCGTTTCATAGCTTTCAGTAGAAGCCATCGCCATTGACTTGAAAGAATCACTCATCTAACATATGCTGGCTAGCAACTAACTCAATTACCAGCCCAAATTCTGACATGCCAGTGACTAGCGTGAAACGGAGCCCAAGGCAGTGACATCTTTGTATTCCACATCCTTGGTACAGGGATTGGTCCCTGATCATTGTGATGCAAAGCTACTCTTGACTCTTGCAGTCTTCTCTTTTCTCTCGTGAAAGCTTCAAACAGCTTGTATCAGCTTGTTTAGATCATCGTCCTGATCAAGTCAGCACTTTTGGCACCGCTATGTTCGACTCACAGATCAATAGCTGCTCACCGTGCGCCCTCGCAGGAAACGGCCATGATGCCTAGGAAAATCCGCTTCAGGAAGCTCTGTGCAAAGCCAAAGGGGCGTATCCGCACCTCCTTCTGCGGAACTGCCGACCACAAAAGAGGCCAGCCAAAGCACATTGCTCATGAAGGTGCCACGACCTGTAGCCATGTAAGTTCGGCACAGCCCAGGACAAACTGAGCACAGGAGGCCGGGAGGCGGGCCCTCTTTGGCCAAAACACGGTGCAATTGAGTCATCAGAGCCTTGGAGGTTCCGTAGGCGGAGCCAGGAAAGCCTTTCTCCCGATGTTGTCCCAATTGAGCTGCTTTCACAAAGTCTTCGGCAATGGTATCCAAGCCTTCTAGTGTTAACGAGTCAGACAAAAGCTGCTCTTGCAAGGATTGAGACCAGGAACTCAACTGACCCATAGTAGAGGAGATCCCGACTGCCCGGGAGTGTGGCTTTAAGAGCGGCCGCAAAATGGTCAGCATGCGTTTTGTGCCGTAATAGTTTACGTCGATACTCTGTCTTGCCTGATCTTTGAACGGTGTGGGGTCTGACAAAGGAAATGCTAATCCTGCATTGTTCACAAGCACATCAATGGCTCCGAACTTGCTTGAGATGAACTTACGCAGTTCTTCCACTGACGCTGCATCTCCAATGTCAAGCTGATGAAACAGCACTTCCACTCGTTTCCCGACCTCTTCTTTGAGCGTTTCGATGGCCTCCGTGCCCATCTCCGGCACTCTGGCAGTCAACACCACGCTACTTCCTTCTGGGAGTCGATGAGCCAATCCCCGTGCGATCTCATAACCGATGCCCGGGATACGATTGGCTCCAGTCACAACAGCCACCGACATGGAGAGGTCACAACCGCTAGCCACCGCCAGTATTCCACCCACAGATTGCTAAGGACAAAATAGTCCACATAAAATGAAATAGTACAAATGTAAGTTCGTTACAAATAAGATACGTGATGACTGTTCCTCAGTGACCAGAGGCCCCATTTTGATTGTGGTGCGACACTAAGAGCTTTTGGTTAGTCAGTATTTTGATTGCCCAAGGAGGGCGCGCTGATGGCAGCAGGAATTTGACAGAAAGGCATACATAGTATCAGGTGGTATGCATGCTTCGTTGTGTCACCTGATGCCGGGCAGTACCAACAGGGGCGCGGCAAGCCACATGCAGGTTGCGCTGACACATAATGCTCTAGTGTATGTATGTATATATATATATACTAACTAGGAACAGAAATACTCATCAATCCTACTCAGCACTCCCTCACTGAGGATCAAGCACCAAAGGCAACATGAGCTTCATAAGATGTCAGCCTGGGCTCTGTCTAAGCACAGATTTCGCCTTAAAACTAACCAAAGTGCAAAGACTCAAAAGTTCTGGCCAGGCAACATGGGCTTCGAATAAGCGCTGCTTCCCCAGTCCATCGAGAGGCGAGGACAAGCCACTTGGACCCAGGCATCTACTTTAGACCTGAGGGCAGAAGCCGATCAAAGCCAGTATTTCCACATGCGAGGAGATGAACGGACACTTGAAGCACACTTGGAAGTGATTCATTTGCACAAGGTCAGGATCACTACAAGTTTGTGTGGATTGCTGTTCACCAGGCTCTGATCACAATGTCGTAGGATTGGAAAGTGTGCTCATATTATATATATATATTCAGGATACAGTATACATTAAAGAGCAACTGAACGCAGAATGAAAGCAACATGAACGCAAATGAAAGCAGCATCAAAGAAAAAGGAAAGCAAGTGAAAGCAAAGTGTAAGCAGAATGAAAGTAACATGAAAGCAACATGCAAGCAAAGTGAAAGCAAACGAAAACAATTGAACGCATTGGAATGGAACTCCAGGGCTTACACTTAAGGATACCGGATGCCGCCAAAAATTGCCATGGGGGGGACTCTGACCCAATAAGGATTTCACATCATTACGGAAGGCCAACATTTATCACAGGCACTTTTTGATCCATGGTTGAAACAACATTTGAATCAAACATTGTCAATTGCCTTCATGGCCTTCTTGGCCTTCATGGGCTGCATGGCCTTCATTGTCTTCATCGCACTTGACTTGGACATCTCCAAGAGAAGCAAGGGCGCACCCAAGAGCTGACTTGACTAGAAATGGCTACACATGATACCTCTTCCCAAGCTAAACGCAACATGTGAATCATCTAGGTCACTGTGAGATATCCTCAACTCCGCATGTGAACGCTGCATTTACAACATGTTCAAGAAAAAGTAACAAGTGCTGGAAACTCCTGCATTCAGCTTGCGGAAAGAAGAGAAGAGACGACTTTCCACATTTGCTTTCCCCAAGCTAAAACCCACAATGTAGATAAACAAGAGACGACTTGGTCATTTGCCTGTACAGGTACCACTAGAATTAGACAACGAAAGAAAGCAGAAGAGTGCAAAAAAAAACAGGGGAGCAAAAGGCAAACAACAAACAGGCTGAACACACCTCTGCTCATGCTCCCTGTCCTATGACATCGACAGGAGATGAGTAGGCGCTGCTTTGGAGTGTGCAGTGTAGAGTCTCATGATCGCATGTCCAGCACAATCCTGAGCACCACACATGAGTGCCAGTCGCTCTGGCGAAATCTCCGACAGGAGGATGATGAAGTGGGCCACACCTGCGCCCATGAACAAAGGAACAAGGACGCTACTAGGAGCAAGGACGCTACTAGGGGCTCCTGGCCTTACTACTAAGAACAAGGACGCTACTAGGAACCCTGGCGCATTTGCCTTGGCCGTATTTGCCCATTGGCTGGGGTGGTTTTGATCATTCATACCGATGCCGATGCCTGATCTGAAAAGCTCTGAAAAGAAAGCTTTGAAACCTGCTTCCCGCATCTTGCCGGCCCACCCAAAGGCGGCCTCGTTTCTGCAAGAGTTGCTCGATTTCCTCGAGGACTCCAACACTGCCCTGCCGTCCTAAAGTCCCAAGGATCAGCCCAACCTGACAGTTCTTTTCACTCGAGAGATCGTCCCCACGGTTCTTGCGGCAATTCATGGCATGCTTTAGTGACTGGTGTGTCCTGGCACGCTCCCAGACAAAAATAAAGGTTCACATCCCCCGCAACCATCGCTCAAACCTGAAGAAGTCATATATCGTTCAAACCTGAAGAACCATCTGGTGATGGCATGAAAAGCTTTTTGCGCATCCCCATGATCCCATGAATATGTTCTCAGCAGGATGCTGAGTACCGCACCAACCGGGCATCTTTTGCTTTTGCAATGGCTGCCCGTCGTTCTGCATGCAGCTCATCATGAGCGAAGCCTTCGCGCCTGTGAGCACTTCGGCATGGTGAGAAGCGAAGACCCCAAGACCATGAGAATCATGGTAGGTTGACAATGACTGACATCCTGGATACTCCAGGTTGTTCGGTAGTCAACCATGTAACATCCCAGGAATTGGACCCACAACCACAGTCTAAAAGGAAGATTTGCTCGGCCAATGGGCTAAGTCACGAAGTGAATGCAATTTGTTGGATCAGTATCCCAGCTAAAGAATCGACAGATTGCTGACTTACTCTGACTTCAGGGAAACATGCTCAGGGCACGTCAAGGTGAAGCAGGCTGGGTCATAGCGGAAAAAGCTACCCCGCACGTGCCTGTCAGGTGCGGAATGCTTGATGGTTTCTGGGGTCCAACTTTGAAGCAGTCGGAAGAAGGACAAGACGAACAAAGCAATGTCATGCCAGGAAAACGGATTTTGTATCATAGCGCTTTCCAAGTGAAAGCGTCCATCACACACGAAAATCACCTCAGCTGGAGGCAACATCAGCTCTGTATGGGTGCTGCTTGACAGCGGTGGTGAAGCAGAAATTGGCAGGATGATGCGTACAATGAGGATCAAGCATGCTTGCTCTAGGGTTTCTCTGTTACATTCACCGGCTCTCAATGCCATCAACGGGTTGACTGCTTTGCTGCAAACGCTTTAAAGCGACTTGCGTGCACATGCAGAAACGCAGCAGGAAAAAAGAATGTCGTGGGTGTCAGACTTCGACCGCCTAACTCTTCAGCTATCACGTGGACGTAAATGACAATTGTCTGAAAAAGTATAAAAAAGTACTAGCTGTGCCCTTTCTCCAAGTCGTGGCCAAACCCTTCAACTCTTCATGCACCTGTTCTACTTCTTCTTTCTTCATCAATCTCAATGAAGACTTTGCCACATATTCATACACTTTCATACATATTCACCGTTCAGTCCTATTGATAGATCGGAGCCAGCTGCATTTCTCCACTTCTTTCGAATCATCGGGTGCCCCAGCTGCATCCACATCACCCACCTTTGGGGAGGTACAGCCCAAGGTTTCGCCCACACCCAGGGGCTTCACCTCTCATCAGCGCGTGACACGCTAGCAGGACAGTCCGTCCTATTTCTCCTATGATGTTCGTTTGCTCTCCAATCATTCAAAAAAAAGTGGAAAACACGTTGTCCCAAATGTCCTTTAGATGATTGAATCGAAAGCTGACGTTGGGGTGGAGGAATCCCTCTTGCTTTTGATTTGCATAGGCCTAGCACTCCCCTATTGTTTCTCCTTTGCTTTTGGTGTTCGGCCTGTTGCTGAACTGTAGTGGGTCGAATCAGAAGCGAACAAAAGAGTTGCAGCCTGTGGCACTGCAGCTCGTGCTTTATCATCTGCCTTCAATGAGTTACCAGCATTGGTGCAGGCAAAAGGAAGAACCATGCGGCTGTGAAAACTGTATACTTGCACGTAAGCTTCAAGTGTTGCACACTCTATATACACGTAAATTTGTACAAATATAGTAATCATATATAATATATAATATATATCATATATAATATATAATATATGTATAATATGTATAATATACATATGTGCTGAAGCAGCGACCTAGTCTCCCGTGAGGCCACAAAACCAACGGTCATCGAGGCATTTCCAGCCTCTTGTCGCAGTTCCTCGACTGCCTCAAAACATGTCGGAGATGTCAAAAACATTCGAAGACTGCTTTCCAAAGTCACAAAGGACTCGGACTAATTGCCAGGTCAAGATCATGTTACAACAGTTTGCATGGCACTCAGGTTTCTTTACAGCCCCATGACACCAGCCAACCAACCTCAGAGATTCCAAATCACCATTGCCCACTCCCGCCTGAAGCATGCCAGAAGAGAACTGCACGCTGCTCATGAAGGCTAGACCTGGCGAAAAATTATTGAATCTCGAGATTGGCCGCCAAATGCGGGTCCTTGGGCGTGTCCTACAAAGACCGCAATGTTTTGTGGAAACAAATGAACACCATGGATCGCATCGGTTCAGCAAACACAAGAGGGGAAGAGGGATGGAGGGAGGGAAGGGAAGGGAAGGGAAGGGAAGGGAAGGGAAGGGAAGGGAAGGGTGGGAGGGCCAGACTATACTATCAAGCAACATGTTTAAATCAAAACAAAATTTGATTCGTATATAGAAAACGAGTCTCTTGCGCCACCCACCACGAGATCAGCATGTCGAGGCACACAAGAGTTGCGCCTGCCATGAAACCTACACTTCGAGGTTAACAAAACCCTGCATTTGCCACAAAACTGCCACGAAGTTTGCACTTTGAGGTCCAAAGTACTGTCCCTGCCAGGAAATCAGCACTTCGAGGTGCACAAGGGGCTACGCCTGCCCTGTCAACAAATTTGGAAACATTTTTTGAACAAGTAAATATCTGTGACCAAACGTTGTTCTGGGCTCTTGTTCGTGGCTGGAGCGTGCTCTATAAAAAGTCTACTCTTCCTTGACCTTAACGCTATCTTCTGGCCATTGGCGACGGTTATGGGAAGCCTATCTTTAGAAAACTTATCCTTGGGTGGCCGACAAAAAGTTCGCTCCAAGTTGGGCGTGCTCCTTCCTGCTCTAAGTTTTACCCTTCCTGCGGCCCACAATATCAAATCATATGCGCAAAATTTTGGAATTCTTCCTTTCTGCCCCGTGGTCCACAAATGCTCCAAGTTGGAATTGCTCCTTCTTGCCCGAAGCTTTGCCAACAGGTGCCAAGGGACCAGGGGAAACAAATGATACAAATCTATTTGTTGCTGATAGGAATCAATTGTTCTTTTGATGCGAATCGATAAAATTTATTGATACGTATCCCGGAGGGAGGGAGGGAGGGAGGGAGAAAAAGAGAGAAGGAGTGAGAAAAATAGATAAAAAGATAGAAAAAGTGATAAAAAGATAGAAAAAGAGATAAAGAAGAAATAGAGGCAGAGATAAAAAGATTGAAATATATTTAAAAATAGAAAACGTTATAATGTAAGAAAAACATATTTAAAAAAAGAGAGAAACAAATAAGAAAAAAATATATATATATATATAAAGAGAGAGAAAAAGAAAGAGAGAGAGCTGAGAGAGAGAGAGAAAGAAAGAGAGAGAAAGAGAGAGAGAGAGAGAGAGAAACAGAGCGAGAGAACGAGAAAAACAAAAACAGTAAGCTTTGGCAGTCTTGTGATTGAAATTGACACCTGAGGGTCTCACGCTTGTCAGGCATAAAGTTATGTCGAACAGTGTCCACCAAATGTGCCACGTCCACTTCAACCTGGCCGCTATGGTTTCTGCAGAAACACATCTATAGTCTATATTGTCAAAAATGTGTACCTTAGAAAGCCGGAGCAATGTGTATATGTATATATTATATAGGTTTTTAGGCCCATGCCCTCGATTGAAGGAGCGATGACATGGCTCTTGCTTTAAAGTTGCAACACCGCGAGTCTACAGCAGATTCGATGTGAGCCTCTACATGGACATAGAGTGTGGTGACTGTCGTCTGGTCTGTTGGCACCTCAAAAGCTCAATAGTAATAGATCTGCAGGAGTGTCCCAGTTCTGCAATGTCGCTTCAGTACCCAAATCCCGAGGGTGCCACCAAGCAAGAATGACCTGACGCATCCATTGGAACAACCACAGGCGAAATAGAGTGGTCGGGAAGTGAGCTGTAGGCAAAGCCCGGCAAGTTGTCATGAAGTGGTCCAAGCAAACCGAAACTTGGCAACGAAACACCGCTAATGCTGTTCACCACCAGCCAAGTGCTGGAGTGCATGGTTGGCTTGCACAAGAGTCGAGAGATATCCCACTTGTGACACCCACCAAGCTAAACACATTCACATTGAGCGACGATTTTGAGCGACGGGTGATACACTTGAGAATCGCTCTTGATACAGCGTGTGGTCATGAACCTCACGAAAATATACAGAACAGTCTACCTGCAGAAATCTCTCAAAATGGGAGACCTCCCAAAGCATGTTCCCCTTTAGTTGGGAGGGTGAATACACGCTGTAGTTGTGGTGGTCGCGATGTACAAGTTTTCTCGCCAAGGGACCATAGTGGATCAAAAAGTCCACCCCAAGAGCTGTTGCCTCTAAGGGCGGCAACAGCAAAACACGGCAACGTCCAAATCCGACGTGAGCCTAATCATGCTATCTGAAGAAGCCCAACCATTCTGGATCGCGAGAGGGTCTCACTTGTCCCAATTTACACCCCTCCATATCACAATATCAACATGTCAAATTCCGTCTCTGATGCCCAGATCTTGTTTTGAGGTCCTGACACCCAGATCGTCAATGCAACAGGCGCCGAAGTTGGCTTCTCCAAAGATCGTCGTGCTCTCCACCTCAAAAGGCAAGTCTCGCGGCGAAGTCCTCGTCCCAGCGATGGCACATGACACGGCCTTTGACTAAAAAATAGAATACACACGTTTTGTGATGTGCAGGATGTTGTAAGGCTTTCCAGGAGACTTCTTTCGCAACAGACCATTCCACAGGCCACGAAGCGATGTTTGAACGCCGACACCATAAATCCTTGCCAGCAACAGAAAGTGGTGAAAGTGACTTCCGACACCCCTGAGCCATCAAACACTTGGTACAAAGGTACTGAAAAGGTCTGCCAAAGCAGTGGCCTAGGACGGCTCGCAGCCCACTGAGGGAAGCTAGGCCACTAGTGAACAAATTTTTGATATATATATATATGTATTATACAGTATATATACATTGACATAGACCTGACTATTTGGGTAATCTGCATGAGCGGAGCAAGCTTTTCTGAGCATAAAAAGGGTCTTCGAGGATGTGACATGTTGTCACCTTCATACCTTTCATGGCATGACCTTCAACTGCAAAACATGAGTGCGTGCACGGGGATTTCCATGATGCACTCCCCCTTTGATCAAAGATCAAACCACACCTGGGACTTACTCAGCTCGCTGCTACTTCGGTCCTCCAGGCGGGTTTCATTCCAAAACATGTGCCATTGGCACCAGCTCAAGACCCTCACACTTCATAGACGCTGGACCCTGAGTACAAGACCCTCTTCTGTACATGGGCTCAGACATCTGCCCATGGATCATAGCTACCGGCATCTGAATCCAATGGCCGTCTTCGGATGTCTCGTGCCCCAACGATGTCCCACCCGTCAATCTGAGGTGGTTCATTCGCTTCCTGCAACGCATAGTATGCACCTGCTGCAGCCTGCATCGGGCCCCCTGGTGGCAATGTGTTCTCCACCGCCAACAGGACCACTGCGCCGCCGTCACCTCCCGTGCCCTGAGCGTAGCCGCTGCGAATCACTGGAGCAGCTGCAATCATTGACTGATCGGGATTGTCGTGCCACTGCCACTTGAATTTCCTCCAGGCGCCGCAATGTAGCACGGTACCCCTGCAGCAGTTCGTCCCAAGGTCAGTGATAGGTCGAGTTTTGGGCTATTTTTCCAAATGGATTGCCTGTCTCATCAAGTCATCGCGATGATATAGGCGATCGCCGACCTGCACCCGAAAAATAGGGTCTTCGCCAGGAGGTCTGTCCCTGTCAAGCTCGTGATTGGACAATGCCTGCAGCACTTCACGTAGTCCATCGGGAGCTCACAGGCTTAGATGCCTCTCTTGGTGCTACAGGCACACTCCATCTTGCTGATGGCGCCGATGCTGATGCCCCCGCTGTTGATGCCGATGCCTCCGCCGTTGACGCTGAAGCCCTTGCTGCTGCCTCTGTTGGTTTCCATCTCATGTCAGGTGGGAGCTTGTGGTGATCAGGAACATTCTCCATCCCAGCAGGTCGCTGTCCAGGAATGTAGTATGATCATCTCTGCACCACGTCCCGGATCATGGAGTTCGAAGAAGGTGTAGCCATTCCACTTCCCCTCAACTTTGGCATCTCGGCGCTCCTCTTTTGTCGGTGGCTCAGTCCACTGGCAAAGCTGCGAGGAGTATGGACGTCTTCTGCTTTCCAACCGTGAAGCATTTGGCTTGACATCAATCTCAACGCTGAGCCTCGCGAGGGAGTGCGAGTCCAACCATCTTTTGTACACCTGACCCACATTGTCCATGAGCTGGCTCCACCATACACCGCATGTGAGCTCACGTCTGCCACCAATGGTGTAATTTCAGCCAGCCAGTCACCGCATCGAAGTGCAGCTTGATGGGACCCTTCCTCCGGCAGCTTCGGCAGCACCACGCTCACACTTCGCAGGTCTGAGTCTCGTGCCTGCAGCTCCATGCCATCACTGCGGGTTTCCGCTTTTGTTGCTTTGGTCAACGGTGGTGGTGCATGTCCTTCTCCATGTAGTGCTCCTTGACATTCATGCTGCACTCCATGGTTGACAGGTTCACCTCCTTTCACCGTTCCCTTCTGAGCAGGAACTGCACTTGCACAGGCCCCTTGTTCTTGTTGTTGGATGCGGCCTCGAAGTTCACTGAGCTCCCTCTCCAGCCACTGCAGCCTCGCTGCCTGATTGTTCGCAGCCGCACCATTCCACGACTTGTCGAACTGCTCGTCCACGATGTCCCAAGTGGTAGTCCCACTCACACTTCCGCGAGCCACTGAACCACTTCGGACTTCCCTTCTCACATGACCTTCACCATCATGTTGAAGAGGTAGTTCATGTCGGGGACATGCCCCGCCTTCACGTTCTCCAGGTCCCTGTAGATGATGTTGTCGAACAGGTCCACTGGCCCCACGGTCACCTCCTGGTATGGTTTGTTGTCTTCATAGTTTTTCCACACTGTTTGGCCAGCCTCGAAGATCTTCCAGAAGCTCTCATCATGAGCACGCTTCCCAGGGACCACTGGGTCAATTGGCCACGGTACAGGTGTAGTTCAGTTGCCACCTTTGAGCCCTCGTCCATGTCCTCGTCCACATCCGGAGGTGTTCCAGGTGGGACTTGAGTTCCCCCTGGAGTTCGCCGTGTGCCACTGACCATTTCCATGGGCGTGAACATCTCCGGGAACTTCTCCAGGACAGGTTGAGCAGGTTTTTTCACTGCCTTCATCTTGGTGGATGCCGTTTGTAATGCCGCCACTCGCAGCCTTAGGTCTTCATTTTGACGGCGAAGTTCCTCTACAACTTGAGCTTCTAAGGCCCGTTGCAAGTCTCCACCTCTATCGTCACCCTGACGACGTCCACGTCCGGTTCGTTGGTGTTCTCGAGAACGGTGCCCTTCTCCATGATGATGTTGGCGTGACTTTTCATGACTTCGATCTTTTTCCAGCCAACTCATTGGTGGCATCGGAACTCGTCGTTGTAGGCCATCCTGGAATAATCTTCACCTCACCTTTCATGGCACCAGTCCCACCTTTTCCGGACCAAGGTCTTTCAGCTCTCTTTGCACTGGCCGCCAGCCTCTCAGCTGCTTGCACGCTGAGGCCCAAGGCTCCTCAGCTGCCACCGCACTGATTGCAGGCTCCTCAGCTGCCATTGCACCGATTGCCAGCCTTTCAGCTGCTTGCATGCTGATGCCCAGCCTTTCAGCTGTCTCTGCACTGATTGCAGGTCTCTCAGCCGCCACCGCGCTGATTGCAGGCTCCTCAGCTGCCATTGCACCGATTGCCAGCCTTTCAGCTGCTTGCATGCTGATGCCCAGCCTTTCAGCTGTCTCTGCACTGATTGCACCATATGTCCTTCATCTTGGTCCTCAAGTGCCGGCTCTTGCTCCTCCATGGTTTCCTCATCTTGCAAAGGAAGCTCCTCTGGTTCCGAGGCCATGGATGGACCGCTCGCTGACTGCAGCTCCTCCGAGCTCTCGTCAGGGACAGCCGGAAGGCTGTCAGGCCGCGCAGCTTGAAGCTCAAATGCTTCCTGGAGGTCTTTCGACCAAAAAGGGTTCGCCATGGGGACCAGCACACCTCTCAGGGTGGTGGACTTCGAAAATCTCTCAACGTCCTTGCGTTGGGCTCATAACCTGCATGAGCGGAGCAGGCTTTTCTGAGCATAAAAAGGGTCTTCGACGATGTGACATGTTGTCACCTTCATACCTTTCATGGCATGACCTTCAACTGCAAAACATGAGTGCGTGCACGGGGTTTTCCATGATGCAGAATCAATGCAGCGCAGGTGTGTCACATCAAATTGACCATGTGCAGGTGCATTGAACATGTTTGAGCTCAGGTGGGGACCCATCCTTGCAAACCTTCAGGCAGCTGCAAGCCTTGGAGCCCCGTCAGGCACCGTCCGATGGAGTCTGACTAGTATCGGCTACCAAAACTGTTTCTATGCTCCTCTCCAGTCTTGCCAAGAGCTAGAGATCTGATTGCATCTGATTACTGATTGATCATCATTTCACTGGAACCTCGTATCAGAGATACACAAAGGCAAGAGAAAGCAGATGCATTCTAGCCGTGTCTATATTTGTCCTCTTCCCATTTGGCTTCACCTGCATTACGTATTTGATCTCAAGTAAAATCGCAAAGCACGTCATCATTGTTCATCTAAACACTCCCCACCAGGGTGGCCAGCCAACATGTCGTGCAGCAGCCCGGCGCAGCTTCCAAATGCAACGATGAACCTGGAAGTCTCTTTTGAAATCTCACAAAGCAAAGACCTTGTAGATCTGCATCACAGTAGAAACTGCAACTCTTGGTGAAGCATTGAAGCATGAAGGAGATATTTATGCTTTCAAGGAACTAGAAGCTTCCTTGCGAATCCTTTCACTAGGAATCGTTTCACCTGTAGTCACAAGAAGTTTTTTAGGTCTTTGAAGCTTCTTAGTAACAATAAAGCTTTCTAGTAACTAGAAGCTACTAGGTGGAGGCCATCACTACTAGTAACCATAAAGCTTTCTAGTAACTAGAAGCTTTCAGCTCTTGAGGCGTGCATTCTTGGCATCCTGCTTAAGGGGCCCCTGCTTAAAGCCTCAAAAGCCTTCATGTTTCATGGAAAAATAAGCAAAACGCACTGCGACCGTCGAAGTCACACCTCAAAGTCGTGCGTCCTGGGAAGACACGCGGCGATGGCAGCATTCAGCTCCTGATTTTGGGAGATCTCCTCCGGAACGAGCCGACTCGCCTGGGAACATCAGCGGAATGCCCCAAGACAGACGGAACCCGTCGATCTTCGTCCATCTAAGCTGACCGCGCTGGCTCGAGATCGAAAGCGTGGAGCAGTCTGTTCAGGTCGAGGCCTCGAGCGATGTTCAAGTGCAATGGGCCATCAAACCACACAGTGGGGCTGGGTATGATCCGTCATCTTTGATCTTTGGGTGTAGCAGTGTAGCATTCGTAGAAAATGTGAAGAAGCTAAGGCCCACACTTGCTGCTTTCTCGTGGCACATCGACAGGTGCCACAGAAGGAACAGGTGCAGCTGCAGGAGCAGGAGTAGCTGCTATCCTCGCAGGCGCCTTGCAAGTCTCAAAGCGCTTCCGACGCAAAAGAAGAAGTTCAACGGAACCGTTCGACCTCGCAATAACAGCTGCACTTTGGGCTCTCTTGAAGACACTCCTTGATACCTCTCGCAATGGCTTGCATGCCCAGAAGACCCGGTTTGGACCGTGGTTTTAGAACACAATGCTCCCCAATCGGCCTTGACCTCAGCTTCCACAGCAGATCCAGCCAGGAGATCCCAAACTTCAGCTTCAGGCTCACCTGACAGGGCCTAGTTGTCTTCAACCGAGATGGAATACAGTATCCTAATATCGAAGTCAGCAAACCAGTGTTGGCGCATATCTTCGGGTAAGAGTCTTGCGGGAGAGGCTTCTCTACGTTTGGATTCAATCAACTTCCAACTGCATTCATGATAGATTTAGAAGTTCCCGGTGGTCGACGAAACACGACAACGATGGTGCGTGGCCTGAATCCATGGCCCATAGAATGCCAAAGCATGAGCAGGCGACAGCCCAGCCCTTAGGATTGAAATCCTTTAAGGTCAGAGGTTTGAGTCAGCGTTCGACTCTTTCATGGGGTGAAGAGCGTGTTAACTGTTGGCTCCGTTCAAAATACTACAGTAGCGCCTCGGCGAGAAGAAAGAGAATCCACCGGAAGTGTATCTCATATTGATTTGTCTGCCTTGTGGATGACCTGTCTCTCAAACACCGCTGGTCCTGGGATGTCCTGGGGTCAAAAAGTCGTACTTTGCTTTGTTGGCTCTTGCAACATCTATATAGGCCCTACTCTGAAGCTTGTCTCAGTGAGCGCTGTCGCATGTTCTGGCTAAAGTGAAGTTACAAAGCCTGCCTGAAGCAAATGCTCCAACAATCACAAAACTACAGTCCAGTCAGCTTCCAATATCAGCGTGAAGAGAGAATGGGGACCGTGTAGTTCTTTTTGTATTCCATTCATGCAATTCCGGTGCACGTGCTTGAACTCTGCAGCTCTGGCGAAAAGCACAGCTCTGCATGTTCAAAAAAGCACACCTTGAAGGGTCGCTTGAGAAAACCCTTCATCCTGCCGATCCCTTAAGGATGGCACGGTGTCAAAGTTGGCCGAAAAGTGGGTTGTCCATTCAATCAACTGGCCGATTAGCTCCTTGAGTGGTGAACACGTTATCAACGTGCTGCCAACCCACCAACCGGCTCACTCGAAGTAGATGCCAGCTTCATCGCCTCGTGGCGGCTCAATCTTCCAAGCGTTTTCTGTGGCAAGATAGGCCCACAACGAAACGAATAGACCAAAAGAAGCACACAACTGAAGGTGCCATGCGAGATGTCACAAAATGTTACAGAAACATGCAAAAATGCCACAATCTCCAAGTGCCCAGCTCCAGTGCACTCGAAGTTGCATATGCGAACCAAATCGCGATGGTTGAACAACCTTGGATATGCACAGGAGGTGGAGCTTTTGCTCAGCAAAAGGATGCCTTCTTGAGTCCCAAGGCCGCATCTCCGTCGTGCTCATGTTGCACTGAAACAGGTTCGCTGATGTCACTTGTTTTAACTACATACATGTGTATACATAAAATTACAGTGGACTTCCGAAAGCAATGGACTGAAATGCAACAAGCTACTTTCTCTATCCGTTTAATGCCTTCAACACAATGTCGAGTGCATCAGGCTCTTAAATTGCTCAGCATCGGCATTTTTTGGCGGAATACTTGTAGCTGGGCACCCGAGCCCACTCGCTGGGTGCTTGAGCTTTGCACCTAGATTCAATTGACCAACCCATATGTAAAGGTACATGTAAAGGTACGGCATCATCGTCATCATCATCATCATCATCATCATCATCATCCTATATCATCCTCATCATCATGCGTAGCCATTGAATCTTCCACTCTCTTCCACGAGGCCGCTAGCAGCATCTCACAACTAAGTGACAACAGAGCAAGACCAGGCGCCATTCTACTTTCTTGAAGCCAACGCCCGAATCATGGTCTTCGGTCATCTTCTGATCCTTAGACATGATCACTTACGCAGCATGCTCCACCACTTTCTGACAGCAAAGCACCATGAATCAAGGTCTCCAAGTATCACAAAAGTAGAAGCTTCATGAAAATTCATGAAAGATCAGTGTATTCTGTGAAAGCCCTTGCAAAGTTATAACAGAAGAAGAACCTCTATAACTAAGCCTTGCTGGAATCTTGCGAGCCAAGCCGCCAGTATTTTCAACACATCATCCATGTCCTCTTCACTGCCAGCTTGTACTCCTGGCACCACACCACCCCAGGTCCTGGGCCATACGGGGCTATCAACCTGTTTGAATGTTCTAAAAGGCATCGACACTGACTCAATTTATGCTGAAGAATGAGATTCTTATCACTTCTAAAGATTCACACGTTCTTTGATTCCCAAAGCTGGAAATCCACTCAAAACCATCCTGTTTCATCCCAAACGCGACCCGAGCATCAATTGTCGCCGTCCCAGCGCATGCGCGGTGTGACAGGAGCGCTTCAAGTCACGAAGCAACTCGACGGCCAGGAGCTGCCAGCGCGCAGCGTGGGGTCGTTGAAGGCACAAGAAACGAGGCGGCGAGAAAACGGGGGCGTCCACGAAACCATGCTACATGGGGTTGCCACTATCCTGCGAGCACGAGGGGCCTCAAGCCATGCGTCTTCAGCCCACGGAAGTAAGGCTGTGGCCCTAAAGAAAAGGAATCGCAAAGAAACACATAACTTTCGTAGTACCAGCACGATTACCATGCGAAGTCCTTGTAATCGAGGTGTCCAAGGGCACCGTGCAAGGCGCAAGTTTGGTTGAATGATTAGGAAGATCAAGGAAGTATCTGCGCTTCACGTTCACATGTTTTCTGGAGCGTCGTTTTCGATAGCATCCGTCGGATCGTAGAAACATGTAGAAACATTGACCTTCAAAACTCTGGACTACTTGGAGCGGTGCCAAGATCCTCAAAAAAACACCTGGTTTGGTCTACTTGAGAGATGAAGCAAAGTTCGGCCGACCCCGCGGCGACCCAGGCGACCTACTTGCCCGCAATCGCATCACACGCGCGGCAAAGCCAAGCAATCTAAAATGGTTCCGAGGCAAAGCAGCTGGGGCCCAAAGGTGTATTTGTCCAATTTGTCCAAGCAGAAGATTCGAATGGTTGCCATTACTCCGGGACTATCTCTTGACTTGCCACACAATAAAACTCCATGTGAGCAGCTTCGAAAACCCCTATTACTTTTTTGTATAATCCAGGTTTGCTTTCGCAAAGCTTTCGCGGAGCTTTCGCGGCCTGCATTCTGGCTTTCGCGGAAGGTGTGGTGTTATGTGGGGCTTTCGCGGCGGCTTTCGCGGCGATTCGTTTTCGATTGGGAAATTCGATTGGGATATTGTACAATAAAGTGATTGATCTATATAAGTTATCCGATATAAGTGTCCTTAGGGTGGTCAAAACTGAACAAATTTCTTTCCGGCAACATCCTGGCACAAGGAGTTGTAGCAGCACCGTTCAAGTATTATTGTTGTCATCAGAAGAGGAGGAAAACTTGCTGAAACTTTTTGCTGGGGCCAGATACCTTTCCCGGATATTTTCGACTTTCGCGGTTCTTTCGCGAGGCTTTCGCGCGGGTTTCGCGGAAATTCGTCTGGGCTTTTCGATTTTCCCCTGAAACACTTGCTCTTCAGCGCTGCTGCTGCTGCTGGCTGGTGTGCTGCGGCTGGCTGGCTGGCTGGCTGGCCTGCTGCGGCTGCCTGCATAAAAATATGGTCACCCACATAAACAACACGACATGCACAAGAAATTCGACTTTCGCGAAAGCTTTCGCGACGCTGTTCTTCTGGGGTTCTTTCGCGGGGCTTTCGCGAACCTTTCGCGACCTGCGTTTTGGCTTTCGCGAAAGAATGTGAGATTACAGTTTGCACACTTTCCATCATAGAGGTTTTTGAAGCTGCTCATGTGGTAGGCTTCCCCAACCACCATCTTGCCTGCTCTCTTGAGCACCGACATGCGCCAATCGTACATCTTTGGGCCTTTTGCTCAGTTTATGGCCTTGTTTCATGAATAGGCCTCCACACCTCCTTCCAAAAGAAACATTCCAGTCACCCTCTGGTTGCGGGGTTCCCCCCTTTTCCACAATTTCACGGCCCACCTCGAGCTGCCTGGACCGCTGTTCCGCTTGGCGCTCTGCTAAGGTGACCACCTCAGCCATGAAGGAACAGGGCGAACCGTGTGCAGCAAACGACGTAGCTCGGTGATATTCAACCAATGTGGAGCAGCAGGGCAGTCGCCCCACGAGCTAGGCTCCAGGCCATGTTCTGTACCCACCTGCAAAGAAAAGACATGTCTGAGGGCAGGAGTTAAGAGGCTGAGGTGGAAACGTTGCAGTGTGAGCAAAACAGTCTGTGATGCTCAGTTGCCCTCTGGCAACTGATCACACTTCCTTTGTATCCCCAACGCATACCTTCTTTGTAGCAACCTCCTCCCCCTCAGGAGCGGACCTTCAATTTGCAATACACACCGTTCCACACCAAAAGGCCAAACGGCTTTGCGTGGTTTGGATCTAAAGTGTGTCGCAACTGACCATTCTGTTTTTGATCGGGAGTGGTACCAGTGGGTCTGTACAGCTTCATTTGCTGCAGTTGAGATGCTTGATGAGTTCTGTGTGTGTTGCGCCTCTCAAGAAGCTCATGGTGGCATGATGAGCGAATACGGCTCTGGACAGTTTCTATTCAAGCTCAATGCAGTTCTGTCCTCAAAGACTTGGAGCTATGGTCCTGGGCATAGAGAGCAGTTGACCTTCTACTAATAACTACTAGGAAGGCACTTGTTACTAGTAGTAAGGCACTTGTTACTACTAGCGAGGCACTTGTTACTACTAGAGTGATGATTCTACGCTATGGCTTCTGAGACGCCCAGGAAGTGAAGTGAGGTGCCTTTTTGCCACAGCACAATTGGCGCGGACGAGTTCGCGAGTCTGCTGGAAGCTAATGCCTCCATGTTCCGAATTGTCTAAGAGATTGAACGCTCCTACATGGTGATGACGAAGTGACTGCCTCTCGGTCATAGTAGAAATGATATATATATATATTACCTCATGGTCTCATGGTCTCATGTTCCATTGATCTATCTTGGTCTCACTGCTTGTTTGCAAATTTAGCACACTCTGTTTGGTCCGGTCCCCTGGATCGCACAGCGAGCCATCGAGTTCGGGTGAGACCGTCGAGCTCTCCCGATTCTTCAGAGCTAAACCGTTCGTCGAAGGATCCAAAGGTTTGGTGCGTTTCGGTGGTTGCAACCCATCGTGTGCATTATCGTGCGCACTGTAGCAAAAGTGAAGACACATGAAGACGCAGAAGACACAAGATTTCGAATGACTTCAAAATACTTCGAACACTGACCTGTCCTACATTAAAATGGCCGTCAAAATACTACAGTACCTGCCCCTTTGATCAAGCGTCCGTCAGGAACCAGCAAACCGATGTGGACAAATGCAAACTATGTAACCATGGCCTTGGCCGAAGTGAACATGTTGCGCATTGTTGCTTATACAAATGTGTGCATATATGATTATATGTGATTGTAATATGTATGAAATTATATATGCGTGGGGTCATATGTTTTTGTGCTCTGAAGCTCAGCTCACATGCTTTCCAAGAGCGAGTTCAAGGCCTGAGCTCAACTGTCGGTCCCAATAGCAATGATTGTTGCATGGCCAATGGACATGCCTTGACAGCATGGTCGCAGAATGTCATAGAATGTTGTAGGGCTAGTAGCAATAGTAATGGCCTCCCTAGTATCGATGGCCTCCAACCTAGCTTCTTGCTACTAGTAAAACCTCTGTTCCGCAAGGAACTGTGATGCTTTGGCTCCCAAACGGTGGTCTCGTCGTAGTTATGCTTTTCAAGCGCTGACCTTGCCAGGCTCAGGTCCCGTCCGGCCCTTGAAGTGGGCAGCACGTCCGGTCACATCACTTCTCAGTGTGTGACTTCGCTTGCTCTTGTGTGAATCCCATGTCCACAATCTTTTGCACCTGGACAAAAGAGTGCACAAGTGGTGGACAAACAAGGTGTTGTGACGAGTGACTAGGTGGATACTCTAACCATCTCTAACCCAAATCGATTGAACAGCTTCCCCCTTCCCTGTTTCTTGGATGGTAACCTGGTACAAGTGAACACCCCTATGAATTTGATCTTGGAAGGCCCAGGTGCGATCTGCAAAGGAGGGTGCGTATCAAGCATTGTGTCAACACACACACTCATGGATATGCGTACTGATGTGAATGCGGTGCCACACGCCGGCCTAAGGTTCCATTTCCTAAGAGTACAGGTAGGGAAACCTAAAGAAGAAGAGGAGGTCCATCCAGCGGAGGTCCCGAGAGTTTCAGGAAAGATCGAACGAGCGGGCGACAAGATGACGACGTACG